ATTTCGTTTTACATGGATTTCAGTTTGGCTTTGGATCCGGCGGTCCCATCCGTAGCGCCTCCATCATAGCGGTGCTCCATGGCGTTCGCCATTTCTTCGCCGCCTCCGGATGTGAGTTCCCGATTGAACACCCGCACATCCGCATGCTTCTCAAAGAAATTAGCCGTCTCGACACGCCCCGACGCCGCAAGGCACCCGTGTCAATCCACCTCTTAGAAGCATGCTTTCGAGGCCTGGCCATGGAACATCCCCGTGGCCAAGCCCTGTGGGGGGTAGTGTGCTTGGTATTCTTCTTTCTTCTGAGACGATCAGAGATCGTAGCCATCCAAGGTGGATCCTTTAAGTGGTTCGCTCTACGAGCGCAAGACATCGTGGCTGTGGATACCGCTGGGCAGCCGACTCAGTGTCCGTCACAGGCTCAGGCTGTTTGGATTCACCTGATCGGGTCCAAGACCAATCAAGGTGGGGCTCCAACGACTAGGATGCTAACTCGCTCTGGTCACCAGTTTCTGTGCCCCGTGTTCGGAGCCCTCCTCCTCCATCAAGCAAGGAGGAATCTCCCTGCAAGCATCCCAGCCGCCGTGTACATCTCACGCTCGGGACAACCAGCCTGCGTATCGACCGAAGATGTGTCCGAAGCCATCAAAGGCGCTGCCGCTCGCACTGGCGAAGATCCCCGCCGGTTCAGCTCTCATTCTCTACGCGCCGGGGGAGCCACGCACATGTACCGATCTGGCACGGATGCACTTACAATCCAGTTCCACGGCCGCTGGGTTTCCGACGCGTACAAGACCTACACCAGGATCTGCAAGGAGTCCGTCACCACGCTTTCAGCGAACATGGTGGCAGGCCCACCGGGGGATTCGACGCTACATTAGTGGAGCCTCTATGCATGACCACTTAAGGGGGCACCGCTCTCCTCGTCCCTTTTCGGATCGAGCTGATGGTCATTGCATAAGCTCTCATTAATGTATTTGTTCGTTTGACCCCCAAGGATTGTGGAAAGGTGTATTCCATAGCGAAGCAGAGCGAAGCAAGGGAATTGTGTTTTCCACACCAGCTTTTTTAGTACCGGTATACCGAAATGGTACCGGTATACACTGCTCCTGCTTGTTGGTGGCGAGCTCTCTCACTTCGTATTTGGAGAACAAGCAGCAAGCAGTCAAGAAATACCCGCCTCTCCTCGTCCCTTTTCGGATCGAGCTGATGGTCATTGCATAAGCTCTCATTAATGTATTTGTTCGTTTGACCCCCAAGGATTGTGGAAAGCTCACTTCGTCTTTTGACGCCTACAAGCAACGTCTTCTTCTTCTCTCTACTTCTTCTCGACCTGTCAAACGAGTTATAATGGTAATATAAGGATCTTTGTCGCATCCAATCGATCCTTCTGGGCCAACTTCCGCTTCGAGATTCATCATTCTTCAGCTGCTGTCATATGCAGTAATTGCAATGCAAGATACAGTAGCCTCATCATGCCAATTTAGCACCTGAATACCCATTTAAAATAAATATAAACCACTTTTTCTAAGGGTCGACAAGGGCTGATGATGGCGGCGATAAAACGAACTTTTGTCTGGGTGCTCGTCGTCTGGAACCTCACGGCAAAATGGATCGACGCTGTGTCGCTAGCAGATGACTGGTACCTTTCAACCCGCTGTAATGAAGGCTCTTCAAGTAATGTGTGTCAAAACTACGAGCGCTGCAAAGCGACCCACCGTTGTGCTCGAGGAGACGAAGACTACAACATCAAAGCTGCCGAGTTGGAGAGCTACACGAGAGAGTTCGAAGGTGGGAACCGAGAGCAAATTCCTCTCATGAACGACTTTGAGGATTGGAAGTCGGGGACGCACCTCTGGAGATTCGGGAACTTTAGCATCAGCAAGGATGATACTAGGCTGGAGCCGAGTGCGTGGATCGGGTGGGACACCTTCACATTTCCTGTGATCGGGTCGTTGGAACTCGCCTCGGGTTATTTGGTGTTTGACACAGATCGAGCTGAACTGCGCGGCGACGTCCAACTGGATGGAGTCGTGACAACCACGCGGCTTGGAGGCACTTCAGTCGCGGTGTTCAACTTCATGACTGTGTATCTTGGTGCCGGTGTTCGTGTAAGTTTCCAAGGCAGTCGAGCAATTGCAATTCTGAGTCGAAGCAGCTTCATCGTGGACACTCAGCTGCGTGTTCGACCGGGCACGCTTGGTGGGTTCCCTGGAGGTGGCTTTATTGGCTCTGGTACGAGCTTTCCCGGTGTGAATAACAATCAGAATGGACCCGGGAGTTCGAGCGTCCGAGTTTACGTCAAGACGCTGTCGACGTGGGGCAAACACGTGCCTGAAGTGCAGGAAATCGAGACGTCAGCTGCGCTTGGACAAACGATCCAAGGACACTTTGTACTGCGCTATCCAAGCGCTAAAAGTGCTGGGTTAGTGACAGGAACGATCTCGTATGATGCGACTGCATTGGATGTCCGACGTCGACTTGAAACGGCGTTCCCCGACATAGGGGAGCTTAATGTCCAGAGAGACGATACACTCGAGCAGCTTCCTGAAGTTGGTCGATTGTGGAGAGTGACGTTCTTGTCAGCTGTAGGAAACGTCCCCCAGCTTGGGGCTCACAGTTTCCTCTCCGGTTTGGAGTCGAAAGTGGTCACACGAACGATTGTCAGTGGCAACGAGCTCTCAGGGTCTTTCCGACTGAGCTTTCTCGATAGACAAAGTCGTCCTCTGGCTCATGATGTCGCAGCTGAAGATCTTCGATTAGCTCTACTGGAAGATCTGCCTGCGCTAATTGACGCTCGTGTGACGCGTACGGATGCAAACGGCCAATGCGTGCAAGGGTCGACACTTGCTGGTCAAACTGCTAGCTCGTCGATTACTGCGGTTGATCCAAATCTCGATCAAGGTCTGTACAGAGCGTCAGAGTGGCAGGTGCCCGAAGATGACCTTGTCGAGGTCTCAGATAGCACGAAGAATTATGCTGCCAAGCGTTGCCGTGCTGGTCGTGGAGCTGCTGGAGGATTCGTGTGGAAATTACAGTTCTGGACGCGAGAAGGGAACGGGGTATCGATGAGTCCGACGTCTAGCTCCATGATGGAGGTCGCGTCTCCCGCTGCCTTGACGGTGGATTACTCAGAGCTGAAAGGACTAGACACCGTGGCTGAGATCGTCGACTCTCAGTGCTTTTCACTCGCGTTTGGTGGCGCTGGAGCTTCATTTGCGGGTCCAGGGGGCTTTGGATATGCTGAATCTCCTTGGGTGGCACCACCTTACGCGGATGAGCTAGTAACTGATCTGTTAGGAGGAAGTGGAGGAGCCGGGGGCGGACAGGAACCTTTTGATGTTTACCCGGTAGTTCAGCCAACTCAAGGTGGCGCTGGTGCTGGTGCCATTATGCTCTCAGCGATCAACGATGTCCTTATCGGCCCCAATGCGATCATCTCTGCGAACGGCGGGAACGGAGGCGCTGGCTTCACACCAGGCGGTGGGGGCTCTGGAGGGTCAGTATTGTTGGTAAGTGGCTCTACTGTGTCGAATCATGGAATGCTGGAAGCTATCGGAGGGCATGGAGGCAACGAGCTTACGGCTGGTCATAGTGGGGGTGGAGGTGGAGGTAGTGGGGGACGAATTGCCATCTACGCACAAACTTATTCGCCCTGGGGAGAGGGAAGCGTCCAAGTGAGTGGCGGGGCCTCCGCTACCACGACTAGAAGGGGCGGGCATGGCTCTGCTTACGTTAGAGTTCGTAGTGAGTTAGCAATGCGTGTTGATGCTTCTATGGGAGCTGCTGGGACGGCCAAATCTCTTCTCGTGCATGGCAGTGAACGCTACGCCAGTGGATCGTGGTATCTATCAGCAGAAATGCACCAAATATCTCGAAATGGACCGCGCTTTGTATTTGTAAAGCCCAGTCAACCTACTCGCATCTCGTACTTCGTTCGCGTCGGCAATCTCGAGCGTGGCACACTTGATTCAAACCGTGGAGCCATCTTTGGGATCCACAGTAATGGAGCTCTTGAAACGAAGGACGAGATGATGATCTCAGTCGCGCTGGTGGATGGAAGTTTCACACACGAAGCCAACACGTTTCCATGGCCACGACAGATTTTCCAGGACAAAGTGCAAACCGATCGTTGGTACAAACTGGATGTGGCACTCGACTGGCTGGCTCACACGTACTCTATCCGTCTGAACGACGTGTTGAAGGTGAAGAGAGCGAAATTTCACGGTGAGAATGTAGCTGCTCTGAGTCTGAACAATTTCCATGCCATGTCGACGTGGTGGGACGAGATTTACGTGGGAAATGACTATTTGTTGGACTTCTCCTGTCCTTGGGTCGGTCAAGTCGGGGATACGGCAGCTGGAGAGAACGATGGCGCAGCTCTCACAGCGAGACGTTCGTGGCGTAAACTATGGGCAGAGGCATTCCAGAAGCCGTCAGCAACAACGTATCACTCCATGGTTCATCACGAAAGCCACCTGTCGAGACAAGAAGTATACACCCACGACAATGGCGGCCTCATTCCATTCGACGGTGCACCACACCGAGCATTTTTCAACGACATTCGAGAACTGGAGGAGGAGAGCCCGGATCAAAGCAAATTCGAGAAACAGCAAGCGGAAATGTCAGCGGGTAACGAGGACGATGAAGTCGTCTCGTACGCTGAATTGCTGACAATCGAGAACCTTCCGCTTGATAGGACGATCGTGGAGCCACTGGAAACTGGGATCGATTGGGAAGCTAGTGTTGGTGCTACAAGTGCCAACGAAGCAACCCCAGAGCCTGACATCCCTCCGCATCCAAGTGTGTATTGGTACTCTGAGGTGTTTGATGCTAGTACAGGTCGTGGGGGCATCGGAGCGTGTTCAAGTGTCGACTACAATGAGTGGCGTAACGAAGGTCTCATGCTCCATTTCTCGAACCTAAGTGATCCGTTTGGAGACCGGCTAGAAGAAAGCGGTGGCTTAGTTGCTGATCGCCCGAAGGTGATTTTCAATCGACACACGAAACGATTCGTGATGTGGATGCATGTCGATGGTGCAGCAGCATCCACAGCCAACACAATGGGGCTAAATGGGGTCGCGAGTAGTGAATATCCCAACGGTCCTTTCACATTTCTCCGTAGTTTGTATCCAGACGCAGCACCATCAGAAGCTCCAGGAGGACAGAGCATCAACGAGACGCACGACCAGACAGTAGCGATCATACCAACAGCCAACAAACAAGACGCCGCATACCTCGTTCGGACGTACTACAAGACTGTCGAGTACTGGCTGCCTCGTCCTGTGATGGACCCCCTTTGGCAGAGTGTACAGAAGCTAAACGATAGCAAAACCGGAAGAACTGTGACAGACTTCGGACTGAGCTACCACCGAGCATTCCACCACATGGGGTACGACGATCCAACTGATATTTATCTACAGCGGTGGAGGTTGGAGGACACTCCGTGGCAAGTAATATGCTGCTCTCTCACGAACGCGAGTGATTGTGTCTCTGTGGTGGACGTCCCGCAACGCCCCGAAGATATTTGCCCCGCTGGAATGAAAAAGAAGACCATTCTGGGTCAGGCGCAGACCCAATCTGGCAATTCTACCACTACATCTGCAGTGGTGGGAACGAGGTACAAAGACCCAAACGACGATGCCAACAGTGCTTTTACTCCTTCGTCTGTACGTGCATACACCTCGTGGGGATTTCAAGTTCAGAACCTTAAAACGTGGCGAGGCAACTACTTTGATGCGCTTAGTACGAACATCACTCTGTTTATCTTCAAGCGCTTTGCCGGAGCACGTCGACGTCATGAAATCGAGCAGGACCCGACGATCGCGTTCACGTATCCTAACGAGGAAGAGCTCACTCATAACGCAATTCCAACCAACGATACCGAGATTCTGGATGAGCTTTTGGGTACATTGGGTGTTCCTGTAAGTCTCGCCTTCAAGAACAAGTATTCGTCCTTTGACCTCGCTGAGATCGATCGAAACAGCGACGGGAAAATAACCTCCTACGAGATCGCGCAGCTGGAGAACCAGAAGGCGACTAAGAAGCTCACGGCTGAACTGGTTGGTGATTTACTTGTCGACTTTGATGCCATGAAATGGAAACAAGTTGACATTCTGGACGCTGATAGGGACGGAATGATCACGTTCAAGGAGTTCGAGAAGTGGTTGGGAGTTGATCCGAATCTGCTCTTCGACCGCTTTGATCTGGACAAGAATGGCTACCTGGACGAGAACGAACTAGCACGCTCACTATGGTATCGTCAAATGCCGAGGTTGGATGCAGCCATCTTCGTGCTTGATCCGTCATTCGATGGCCGCGTGTACTACGATAGATTCCGCGCCTTGCTACTCCAAACACCCGACTTTATCTTCAAGATGTATGATTTTGATAGCTCCGATGCACTCTCGGAGTTCGAAATCAGTCTCATGGTCAAGGACCTCGGTACAGCTCTGGCCAATCCAGCAGTACTACAAGCATTGCAAAACTCCACCATCAACAGCACCACGAAGGCCGACTACGCAGCGTGGTTCAGCTCAACGACAAGTCTCGTCGATGATGCCCGCAATAAGCTCAAGGTGGACAACGCCATTCACGCCACGGGTCCTGACCGATTGACGGGTCCGCTGCATGTGGTGGAACGACGACGTGCCAAGTACGTAGCTATCAGCGCTCTTGCTGACGACTACCTCAATACTCGAGGTTTGCTTCGAGAAGTGGAGGGGAACTTTGAAGGACGTGAGGCACTTCTCAGCTTCTTTGCCTTCAGTGAAGACCTCTTTGGATTCGCAGACTCTGCTGACGAAGCTGTGCTTGGTGATGAGATCAAACCGTTCCGCGAGCTCTTGTCCCCTGTGATGCTGCGAGATCGGGCCTCATACTGGAATGGACGTCACTGGGAAGGACGTCCGTCAGCACCACCGTTATTCACTTATGGCTCGCAGTGCTTTCACGTCGCTGGACTGGATGAATCTACTGCCGACGTTGAGACAGGGGGCTGTTTGCCGTGCCGCACGACGTCCCCGTACGCATCCGACGTGGTGGACCAGTATCAAACGTTTGCACGGGATGCAGCGCAATGCCAACCTCAGAAGGAACTGGACGCGTACATCAAAGAGTTCGACCAGCAAGTGTCGATCCAACTGCAGTATCAGCAGCAAGCTCAATTTGGACCACAAGGACTGCAGCCGCACATGTCGCCATGCTACAACCAGTCCCAGTTCTTCCCGTGCGACGTGCAAAAGGTTCTAGACGGAAACGTGGCTGACACGCTTCGGGAGTGGACAGCGCGCGAGACTGCACAGAGCTTGGCATGGGAGAAGCACCCGAATAACGTTGGATCGTCAGTCAAGATCCGTGCAGACGACTATCAGCTCGAATCTACGGGTCCGTCGTATATTGAGCGATTCCCGTTGAGGCAGCGCGAGCCTTTAAATGCTTTTGCTGCACTGGACAGCGTCATTATGTACGAGCCCGATGAACTCGCCGACATTATGGGAGGTGGTCGGTAAACTGCTGACTCGGTGCAAAAAGGGGTTTGGCTGTTAATCTTACCAGGAGGTTTGTAGGCTGATGTATTGTATCTCCGATCAACCAACGAGTTTGCCACGACTGGTTGAAGGACGATTTCACTACGCTCTGTATCATGAAAGGCCACCAGTTCAACATTTTTGCATTGCATCAAAGAGAAGACTTGCACGGCACCACTGCTACTCTTATTTCTGGTAGGCTCTCTGTTCTGTGACCTCTGTACCGACAAGATTGACACGAACATATTCGTCATCAACCGACCGCTGTTGTACGCCTGAGTCTACGGATCTTTCATCGCTCCTGGATGAGAAATTCCCTGTTAAATGTTTGATGCCCTTCTGCCTAGTCTCCAGTCGATGATACAATTGAGAAGGCAACTTGCCTCTGGGCGATAAACAAGAGGAGCTGAAGACTTGCGAGTTCTGACCTCCGGGTTCGTCACGGGGGGATTGTTCTCCATGTGTCGATCGCTTCTAAGAGTAGGAGCCATTTAAATGTAAATACACTTAAATGTCAACTTTAGGAAACTAATCAGGAAGTAACGTAAACACGTAAGTGCCGGGCGACAGGACTGCGGTGTCTGGCGAGGCTGCTCTTCTCTGCTGCTCTCTGATGAGCGGCAGGCGTCAAAACGCAAAGACGAACAACAGAAGCCATTAGAATTTGAAATGGCTACGTCTGGCTCATCTTTCATTTGAAAAACCTCGGTGGTAAGCAGCGAATCTCTTTCCGTTTTATGACACCAAAAGCGGGAACTTAAAAAACACTCTCACAAATTTTAAATAAAAAGGTCTCTCATTTCCCTTGAGCGTCGCCAGATGACTGCAACTTCTGTCAATTCAATTTGAATTCAAAATCCGCCGAGGTTTTATCCTGCCGCCTTTCAGTTGCCTGACGTCACTCGGCAACCAGCACGCCCAGCAGCAAGCAGAGGCCGCCTCTGTCCGCCTCCAGCGCATCACCACGACACCGCAGCCATGAGCGACTCGGAAGACGATGTACGTCTTCTTCTCTTCTTCGCTCACATGTCTCTCTCATTCACGTCCACCCTCTACAACCCTCACAACTCCCTGATATCCGAAATGACGCACTATATTTTTTCCCCTTTACTTTTCTGCTTAGGTTGTGATGATGACGCCCAGTAAACCAAAGAAAAAACCGGCCGCTCCCCGCAAGAAGAAGACCACAGGAGCAGCGGGTAAAGCCACGGCCAGGAAGACGCAGACCACGAAAGCCAAGGCGCCTGCCAAGAAGAAAAAGAAGAGCGACACGTGGGACAGCGACGCCTCGGATGACGCGAGCGAGGGCTCTGCTTACGACGTGGACGGCAGCGGAGATGAAGCCACGCCCGCCGCCAACGCAGAGGAGGGCAAGGGCACCCCCAAGCAGAGTATCGAGCAGATTTACCAGAAGAAGACCCAACTGGAGCACATTCTGCTGCGTCCTGACACGTACGTAGGCTCCATCGAGCACGTGGAGCAGAGCATGTGGGTGTTTGACGACGAGAAGCAGCGGATGGTCCTGAAGAAGATCAACTACGTGCCTGGACTGTACAAGATCTTTGACGAGATCATCGTCAACGCGTGCGACAACAAGCAGCGCGACAAGTCGATGAACACACTGAAGGTGACAATCGACGTGGAGAAGAACGAGATCTCGGTGTGGAACAATGGCAAAGGCATCCCCATTGTGCTGCATAAGGAGCACAAGGTCTACGTCCCGGAGCTGATCTTCGGCCACTTACTCACGGGCAGCAACTTTGACGACAAGAAGAAGAAAACCACCGGTGGACGCAACGGCTACGGCGCCAAACTCGCCAATATTTTCTCCAACGAGTTCGTCGTCGAGACTGCAGACTCGAGCACAAAGCAGAAGTACAAGCAGGTGTTCGAGAGCAACATGAGCAAGAAGAACCCGCCGTCCATCACCAAGTGGGCGCAGAAGGACTTTACGTGCATCTCGTTCAAGCCTGACCTGGAGCGCTTCAAACTCGACTTCCTCAACGACGACATCGTCTCGCTCTTCAAGAAACGCGTGTACGACGTCGCTGGCGTCTCCGGGAAGGGGATGAATGTCTTTCTGAATGGGGACAAGATCCCCATCAAGTCGTTCCCGCAGTATGTGGCGCTGTACCCTGGACCTCGTGGATATGAAGCTGACAAAGACAAGGACGACGAGGACGCGCACCCGGACGAGAACGGGGACGACGACGACGAAGACTACAGCGAGGACAAGGCCAAGAAGGCGAAGGCTGCCAGGGCCAAGCCGTCGAACGTCACCAAGAACGGCGTTATCTTTGAAAAGCCAGACGAGCGCTGGCAGGTTGGCGTGGGGATGAGCGAGGATGGCTTCCAGCAAGTGAGTTTTGTCAATGGCATCTGTACCACAAAAGGCGGACAGCATGTCTCGTACATCGTGGACCAGATCACGGCCAAACTGGTCAGCGTGCTGAAGAAGAAGAACAAGGGCGAGGCTGTCAAGCCCAACTACATCAAGAACCACATGTTCGTCTACGTGAGCGCGCTGATCGACAACCCCGCCTTCGACTCTCAGGTTTGGCCCTTGGCGTCATTGTAATGGTGGTCTTACCGTTCGTTCTGCGTCATTTGGCTCACACGTGTTTGGCTGCTGCTCTGTTCAGACCAAGGAGACGCTGACCACTCGAGCCAACAGCTTTGGGTCAACGTTCAACCTCAGCGACAAATTCCTCAAGCAACTTGAAAAGAGCGGCCTGGTGGAGAAGATTCTGTCGTTCGCTGCGTTCAAGCAGACCGCAGAGCTGCGACGCAAGGGTGGCAGCAGCGGCAAGCGGTCGCGTCTCACGGGTATCCCCAAACTGGACGATGCCAATCACGCCGGCACCGCGAAGAGCAAGGACTGCACGCTGATCCTGACCGAGGGAGATTCCGCCAAGACGGTAGCTGTGGGCGGCTTGCGGTGGTTGGCAGAGACTACTACGGAGTCTTCCCACTGAGAGGAAAGATGCTCAACGTCCGCGAAGCCAGCCACTCGCAGATCCTCAAGAACGAAGAAATCCAAAATGTGGTCAAGATCCTCGGCCTCAAGTACGGACAGAAGTACGAATCGACCAAGGGCTTGCGCTACGGGCATCTGATGATCATGGCCGATCAGGATCACGATGGTAGCCACATCAAGGGCCTGGTGATCAATCTCATCCACCACTTCTGGCCGTCGCTGCTGGTCGTGGACGGATTTCTGCAAGAGTTCATCACTCCGATCGTTAAGTGCACTAAGGGCCGCACAAAGGAGGTCTTTTACACGATGCCAGAGTACGAGGCATGGCGGGAGAGAACCAACCAAGGACGCGGCTGGGTCATCAAGTACTATAAGGGTCTCGGTACGAGCACGGCCGCAGAAACGAAAGAGTACTTCTCCGACCTGCAGACCCATCAGATTGGGTTCACGTACGACGGAGATGGAGACGCTGATGTGATCGACATGGCGTTCTCCAAGAAGCGTGTTGAGGACCGCAAGGATTGGCTTCGAGGCTACGAGCCTGGCACCTATGTGGACTACGACGTGGACGAGATGGGCTACACAGAGTACGCTTATCGCGCTGGGTGGGGTCTATTGAGGTCATTGGGCTGACCTGTGTGCTTTGTGCGTGCTGCTTTCTTGACAGGTTCGTGAACAAGGAGCTCATCCTTTTCTCCATGGCAGATAATATCCGCTCAATCCCTAGCGTCATGGACGGATTCAAGCCGTCTCAGCGTAAAGTCTTGTTCTGCTGCTTCAAGCGTAATCTTCGGGTGAGTTGCTTCCAGTGTTGTCAGATGTCTGCAGTGCTCTGACGTACTTGGGTTTTCTGTACACCACAGGCGGAGCTCAAGGTGGCACAGCTGGCTGGTTACGTGTCCGAGCACTCTGCATACCACCACGGAGAAGCGAGTCTCCAGGGTTGTATCGTGAACATGGCGCAGGACTTCGTCGGTAGCAACAACATCCACCTTCTGTCCCCGATCGGTCAGTTCGGTACGCGTCTGATGGGCGGCAAGGACGCAGCCAGTGCTCGTTACATTTTCACCAACTTGGAGCAGCTTACTCGACTGATCTACCATCCCCTGGACAACGACTGCCTCAAGTATCTAAGTGAAGACGGACAGTCGATCGAGCCGGAGTGGTACATCCCCATTATCCCCATGGTGCTCGTGAACGGCAGCGACGGTATCGGAACGGGTTGGTCCAGCTCAGTCCCCAACTACAACCCGCTCGACATCATCAAGGGTCTGCGTCAGATGATCAACGGAGAGGAAATAGCTCCACTTACCCCGTGGTACCGTGGATTTACCGGCCATATCGTTGAGAAGGCGAACTCGCGCGGAACTGATACGGGCAACTACATTGTCCAGGGCCTGTACGAAGTTACGGACGACAGCACGCTCGTGGTCTCGGAGCTCCCAGTGAAGTCCTGGACGCAGACGTACAAGCAGTTTTTGGAGGGACTTCTGGATGCGGGTACGATCAAGGACTTTAAGGAAAACCACACCGATGTCAAGGTGCTGTTCACGATCACAATGGAACCAAAGGCGCTGAGTGACGTCACGAAGGCCCCGGGCGGAATCGTAAAGAAGTTCAAGCTCGAATCATCCCTCTCTACCTCCAACATGCACCTGTTTGACGCTGCCGGACACATCAAGAAGTACGAAAACCCCAAGGAGATCATGGCCGAGTTTTACGGGATCCGTCTCGAGTACTACGGACGCAGGAAGAAGGCGATGCTGCAGAAGCTGCAGGACCAGATCAAGCTCCTGTCGAACAAGGCTCGCTTTGTTCTCGCTGTCGTGGAAGGCAAGCTGGTAGTCAACAACCGCAAGAAGCAGGAGCTGCTGGAAGAGTTGATGGCGGAAGGCTACGATCAGATTGTGTCGAAGACCAAGAAGAAGCCTGACAATGAGGACTCAAATGAGTCTGAAGATGAGGAACCCAACGTGGCAGACGTCAGCAGAGGCTACGACTACTTGCTGTCGATGAAGATCTGGAGTTTGACAAAGGAACGCGTCGACAAGCTGCGTGCGGAGCTCCAGGAGCGCGAACACGAGTACAGCGTCTTGGAAGGCAGAACAGTGCAGGATCTGTGGCTCACAGACTTGGATGCTCTCGAGAAAATGCTCGTCGAGACCGAAGCAGAGCGAGAGAGGATCCTGACGCACACTCCCAAGAAGAAAGGAGGAAGGGGCAAGAAGCCAGCGAAGAAGAGGAAGCGAAAGAACGACAGTGACGCTGACGACGGTGACGACTCGGACTTCGAAGTTGCAGGCTCGAAGGCGGCGCGTAAAAAGCCGAAGACTCAAGTCAAGCGGCCAGTCAAGAAAGAACCTACTGCGAGCAAGACGAACGGCACAGCCAAGACGAACAGCGCGAAGGAGAAGAAGACGAATGGCGCCAAGTCAAGTAACATCACGTCGTTCTTCAAGCCCAAGGAGCCACCTGCCGCCAAGGAGGAAAGCGAAGAGGAAGTCGAGGAGCTTTCGCTGGCGGAGCGGCTTGCTCGGAGGTTTAAGGTATCGCCGCAAAAGGTGACAGCTGTCTCGACCTCTAGCTCTGCAAAGCGCGCAACCAAGCCAGCTGCAACAACTGATCTGGCGAGCTCTGACGATGAGAAGCCCAAGGCCAAGGACGACGAGGACGACGTGTTTGCCATGGAGTCAGATGATGCTGCAAAGAAACCAGCGAAGCTCAAGGCCAAGGCGCCTGCACGAAAGGCTGCCCCGAAGAAGGCAGCGCCACCCAAAGAGGCCACGCCTGCTAAGAAGAAGGCTAAGAAATCGCCTTTGGAGGACGAAAGCGAAGACGAAGCCAGTGAGGACGGCGCTGATCCTTCTCCAGTGGCGCCTCGTCCGCAGCGTGAACGTCGCACTCAAAAGCGCATCGTGTACGAAGAAATCTCAAGCGATGAGGACAACGGCGAGGACAAGAACGACGAGGAAGAGAGTTTCGCCATGGAGGACGATGCCGACGACAGCGATTTCGAGTAACTTGTGGTAGTAACTGTGCCTGCAGCGGTGCAGGACTGAAAGCGGACGAAAACGAAAACAGTCGACGGACCAGTGCATAATCTTGGAACACGATCGGACAGCTAGGGGGGGGGGGGGCGACGTGGCAACTCGTAATTCATTAATTCAGCGTATTCTTTAGCAGGTCCATTCACGGCAGCTCTGCGTTCTGCGTCTCCCAGGCTTTTTGAAGCTTCGTGGCAAACTTGTCGAGTTTCTGGTGCCACAACGAGAAGGGACTTGGATACAAGTGCACGGCAAGAGCAACGATGGCAGCAGCGAACTCGTCGAACTCGAGCTGCAATGTGTCGTCGTTGTCGAGAGCCATAACGGAGGAGAAGACGTGCTGTGCATCACTGAGAGCCACTTTGTTGCCGTTGCGCTTCGAGCCATCAAGCAGATCAAAGGCAGCCAGAAAGGTCTGGAACTCACCAAAACTCATGGAGCTTCGCTTGGTCTTTTCCAGTTGAAAGTCGGAGCCTGGGTCGGTCCGCAAGAGAGCAGCGTTATCTTCTGCTGCAGAATGATCTGGGCCTTTAGCGTGATTTGCATTTCCATTTAGGCTGCCTCCGGCTTCCTGTAGCTCGCGAAGTAGCGCCTGTTCTTGTCGTGCGGCACGTTCGTCCTCGGCGACTTCATCTTGCTTGGCGTAAAAGAAAAAGACTGTGCGTAGGAACGAGCGGTGTTCGAGTAGTGCGCGACCTACAAGAGGACAGCTGAGTTTTGCAGCGAAGTTTCGCTCGACAAGGGTTGTTGCTCGCAAAAGCCCGTGGGGCGAGGATCTTGCAACATAATTGTGCCATGATTCGTGCCGGACGAGCCGCGAGCTCCGCGGCTTCCAGCATGGTCTCTCTGTTATCGTCTCGAGTCTTCTTGGTTGTTGCCAGTTGAGCCTTCTCTCGTTTGCGAGTTAATGCCACACGATGCCTTTCAATCGCAACTCTGACAAACAGCTCCGAAAACTGCGATTTCTCCACGCCAACTTCTTGATCTAGCGAGCCGTCAGTCGAACTGGTAGGCTCTAAAGCTTTCACAACGCTGTTAAAGAGAGCTTGTAACCTTACAATGGGGAGATTGCGAGGGTGCACGAGCTCGAGCTCATACATCATGGCCCTCCATCGAAGAAAAGGAACCTGAGGCGAGCAGTTGTAGCGCGCTTCTGAGAACCGTTGAAAGAGATGTTCAATGTGAGCTGCGTACAGTGTCAGCACATTCTCGAGCTCGTGCAGCTGTCCAGATGCGCAATCGGTGCGAGCCCTTTTGTCCTTGATGAACTGGCTGAGGCTCATTCGAGAAGTATCATAGAAACTATGAAGCGCGTCGTTCATGATTACGACAGCGTCGCTCGATCGGCGTTGAGGGATTACCGGATTGTCTTCTCCAGCAGAATTATCTTCGACAGCAGCAAACTGTCCGTGGTATCCCGACATGGAATCGATGCAAGGGCGTAGTGCCTGACTGACGAGATATATCTCCGTTACGCATGTCTGCCTTAATGCAGACGCTTCATTCCTGCTGCGTTTGGCTGCTAATCGCCAGGCAAATGCGAGAAACTCACGGATACAATTGACCGCACTGTCACTTTCGGATTGACCGAGTTCTTGACCCACATAGTGCAATAATCGTTGGGTGTGACGACGGATAAAGACATTGGGATCGTTGTTGCATAGAGCTAGACTATGTCGAGCATACACACGCCACTTTTCACGGATTGCGATAGCAGTCGGGCTTGGGAAGACCACAGGTGATGCCCGTTTTGACTTGGTAGGAGACTTGACGCCCCGACTCTGCTGTCGCTTCGTTGATATCACGCCTGTGACTTGCATCAGTGCATCAACACGCAGCTTCGTGCTCTCTAACCATCTCATCTTTTGCAACACGTCAAATAAACTGTCAAAAGTGATACCAGCAGCTACGCCTCCAGCTCCCTTCAAGAGCTCAGCAAATACCCAATCCATATCCATCTGAGCCACATCGCTGTCTTGAACAATTCCGGATTGCAGCAGCAGCTCGCGTAAGACGTTGCGGGACAAACCGTGCAGATATTTACTCCCCCCACCAGACTCCGTCGCTCCATGAGGACCCTTCCCTTCACCTTTGGCCGCTTTTTCTCTTCCTCACCAGCTTTGGGTTGATCTCCCTTGCCATTCGCGGCCTCTGTCTTAGTCAACGTCTCGGTTGTTCGTTGCTGCATTTCCTCCTGGTGGTTTAAATGAACAAATAGCGCCCGCAACTGATCGCGTTCCCACTGGAGCTGGAGCTTGTACGTTTCCATCAGCAACGCCAGGAAGACATCGGTTGGTATCTTACGTTGGTCTCCTGTAGGCTGATAGAACGGCCCCAATCGCGCTGCCAGCTCTTCAGGTGAGGGTACGACCGCAAACTTTACTAACAGATTGTTGAAAGTCTCCAATGAGATGGACTCCCCCTGGTTCTTTTCAATGATTTCACGAAGCGCAGTTTGAGCAGCAACATGTTCAGGGATCTGCTTTTGCTCCTCTTGTCCGGTATCTGGCACGTCCACGGCGGCAATCTCAGATACAAGTAGAGCGGCAGATAGTTCGCCCAACCGCGTCTTGGGTTTACGCTGCGGAGAGGCGGACGGGGATGTTGGTGCAGCTATAGAGACAGGAATGCTCTGGCTACTCCCCTTGGTAGGACCCCGCTTGGCTTTGCCTCGACGTTTACTTTTCCTCGCTGTTGATGGTCGACAAAAAACTTTAAAGTGAAGCAGTCTGAAGATGGATCTCGCAAGGAATGTTGCCTTGAGCACGCAGATAAATTGTGGTTGGTGGCTATTTGCACCCTCGTAGTAGCTAGGAAGAGGGTCGTCGTACGGAATACCAAGCCGGATGTCATCCATCGCTTGAGAAAGCCACAAGAAGAAGCAGAGCTCTTGACGTGAACACGATTCCTCCAAAAACTGGCAAAACAATTCCAAGCTGTAACAGGCACTCCGTACGCTGTGAAGACAGCGCACAAACTGTTCCAGCTCTTGAACAGCATCCTGTTCGCGACTGCATCGCTCCAAGAAGAAATGAAAAACAATCAGGGACAGCGATACCGACGCCGACTTGCCAGCACTGGAGCAAACGCTTGACCCGAGCATTGGATCTCCGCCAATTCCTCGGTTACCGAGGAGATTTTGAGCTTCAACCGCGACTAAGAATCGCTGATAAAAGGCCCATGCTAGCTGGAGACAACCCGCAACAATCTCTTCATTGCATTCCTCAGCTTCTGCGCTGTTGATGCAACTGATGCCATTGCCCGAGGAGCTTGAAGCTGCAGCTGACTGAGGCCTCCGCGTCTTGCTGGCGGTTGTACGTAAGCCTGAGCCCTCCACTGAACGAGCTGACAGTGCTCCCATCGGAGGGATTAAGGTCGGCACGTTTCCTTGTTTGCGTGCTTTCGACTCTTCCTTTGCGACAGCAACCTGCTTGTCGGTCATCAGCAAACCAGCAATAAAGTTGCTTAATTCCATGGGAGATCGTTGCTCAGGCCTCGCGTCCAGTTGCTTCTTGCGAGGCATTCGTGCGTTTGCTACTGGCGGAGGGTGTACGATGCGTGAAAACCAGTTGAGGGAAGGACCTTGAGCGCCATCTTGTAACGCGCTCGGGAGAGTTGTTTCATAGTTCGTAAGGATGAACTGGTTGCCTATGGTTTCAATCGTCAGTTCACTCGCTAGCATTGGAGCTTCTCCAGGTGAGTCGTTAAGAGGCGCTACACTCCGCTGTTGATCTGCTGCAGTTGTATTTGCTGAATCAATCGACGGCCGACAGGGGCGACAAGCGGAGGGACCGTTGTTGGCAGCATCTGCAGTTGCAGTCGGGTCCGGACTAGCCGCTTGCAATGCCTCGAGTGACTGCTGCTTCAACACTTGGTCTTCGCGCAGGGTCAGATTTTCTCTCTCTAGGACACGCACACGCTTTTTCTCACTCTGAAGCTGGTTTTGAGCATCCCAAGCTCGCTGTCGTGGTACAGTGCACTCGATACTTCGGCGACACGAGCCTTCTGAACGTCACGTTCGTGATGACTCAACCGAATCTCCTGCTTGGCCAGCTCCAGCAGGCGCGATAGCTCGTGACACTGCTTCCAACTCCAGGGATTTCGGGAAGTGAGAGAGCTAAAATCGCTGGGTCATCGCTACGATCATTCAGCGCTTGATGCCTGGGATCCGAGCTACTGGTTGGGAAGGAATCAGCTGAGGTTGCATTGTTCCGCTCGTAGAAATCGCGCAGATCTCGCATCTACGTCTGAAGTTGCTCGTTTTTCAATGAAACAGCGGCGAGTTCCTCGTCGGCTTCTTTTATCCGTCGTCGGAGTCCATCCACTTCGTTCACGAACACACTACGAGCAAACTCGTATAGTCTGCCAATGCGCTCGTTAACTTCCAGCAGAAACTCCATCGCGTACTGTGCCTCCTTCCCAATAATTTTGCATCGTACCGAAGGTAAAACAACTACAAAACGAGCGAGTCATGAAACTCCGGATCCTTCTCTCATTGGGCGCACAAAATTGCCACAAGGGCCGAAATGTCAAGGCCTCCGAAATATAATTAATATACCTGTATAAATCCGGTCTTAATAAAGTTGCGGAGTAATACCAGCTGTGCACTCTAACTTAGAGTGCACAGCTGGTATTACTCCGCAACGGTTAGAGTCTACACATTTTAAATTTTGTAAGGAAAGGTACCTTGTGCCGATCACTACTGTCCGAGATACATCAGAAACATCGACATTTTGTACCTGTGCAGTATATTAAGAGCGAAATTTAAAAATTGCGAATGACACCTCCCTATGGGCGACTAAACTCCTAAAGATTAAAATTTGGTTGTCGCATCTTACTCTTGCCCGACAAGCAACAGCCCAGAACCGACGACGAGGTTTACCGTTGGAATTGTCAAGCATCCAGCAGCACGTCCAGCCAGGTCACAATGAAAAATTCATCCGCAAAGAACCAGCCTAAAAAACGCAAGCCCCCGATCATCATGAAGCCCCTGCACCGCCTCCTCATCAGTTCGGCATGCCTGGCTGCACTCACAACCTGTACGCCAATCTCAGCTGCAGCTCAAAAGGTCGGTGTGAGCAATTCAGGATCCGGATGCCCCGGAGGCACGACGACATTTCTCCGTGGCTCCGATCCAAACTACGATGGTGCCGAACTCTATCCATTCTTCGACGTAAATGAAGACGCGATTGCACTAATACCCGCTGCTGCAGTGGAGTTTAAGATCAATCTGGATGATGCCGGCGAGGAGTTTGAAGTCGAGCTGGTCTCAGTAACTAAGGAGAACAATGCTGAGGTTGTTCCTAGGACCTTGAACGAGATCAACAATGACAATTTCGAGCTCGTCCAGGATGAAGATGTCGAAGACACCATTCAAGAAGAAATCATGATTGAGGACTTCCAGTCAGACTATGGCCGTCACCTGCGGAGCTTGGCCGACCCAGCTCCAGCTGGGCAGATCCAACTTCCAGAGACGACACCTCCAACGGAGACAGTTACACCTCCTTCGGATCTTCAGCACTCAAATCTGCGAGGACGTGAGCAACGCAATTCGTAGGGAAAGGCGAGGAGAAGACAGGTTGGTCTTGGAAACAATATTAGAACCGTACCAAGCTATTGAGGCGAGATGTATTATACTTCAAAGTAACTTCTTATCAAAACATGGCCTCTCCTTGAGAAAGTTATTGGAGTACTTATTCATACGAGAATTTTTGTATAGTTTACCCCTTGGTAACGAGAAGTCCATGGGCGCTCCGTGGACCTGGTTCCATTGAATCCGTATTGCCCCAACCCACAACCCACAACAGATTCTCGTAGTTGAATCGTGCAGATCAATATTAGTATCTATTTTGAGCGAAATGCTGTGCAGTATTAATACAAGTGCTTGGCACCATCTTTTGAATCGGCAAGCTTGTGATGGGGTGCTCAGACACTGTCAGTCACTTATTATACTAAAGGACTCGCGTCACTGACTCAGTGCCAGGAGTCCTAAAGTGAGCTTGTTGGCGGCACAATTTGTCGAAAGACCCGCAATTCCCATGATTCTATTCTGTAGAACCCTAAGTGCGTGGATTACTTCCTACTTGGTAAAGTATGTACGGTGCTTTTGTCGCCCCACCAACGCAATCGTGCGGTCCCTTACTTTCGAAGTTTCGTCTCAAGAAGACAAAAGCTATTATATTAATGGCACACAACACAGAGGTTCGCAGTCCACGACAAGTGAAGCTCCGAGGCTTCGAGCGCTTGACTACATTAGTCGACAATGTCTCCATGAAAATTGTGCACTCGATGCTAGTAACCGGAGATGTAAACACGTTGCTGCGATTCCTGCCGACTGCTCTTATGAAGACTTTCAACATGCACCATCGGATGCGAGTACTGCAGGTCCAGAGCCAATACTTCACCGCTGAAGTTCAAGAACCTCTGACCGTTGACGACATCAGTAGCAGGAACCTCCTACGAGTTCAGAGTTTCTCTCAGACTACAGAAGGGAGTTTTGAACACTGGCAAAGGTACGTGGCAGACGAGTGCAACGTCGGGTTTGATCGGTACACACAGCTTCCATTCTTCCTGACAGTGTGGATCGATGAGAAGGCGGAGCATGCTCGCTTGATGCTCTTCTCGGATCACTATATGTCGGACGGGTATTCGGGTATGGTAATATTCAACGACATCCTTGAACACATAACGTCACTTGCAGCCCAGAATCCCTCCACTGCCGACCAGCAAGTCCAAGAATTTCCATTGCGCCCTTCCTTCTACGATATGTGGCTGTCCAAGAAGCCACTGTCGAAAGCTGTGATGAAGGGTGTCATCTCCCTACTTGGCAAGACAATCTACTGGAGCGAGATGAAGAAGTTCCACCCTGTTCTACCAGCTCGAGCAGATCAACACGACTTCGTAGTTCCACCAGTCTCAAACCCGACCTCAGCTTCGTTTGCTGAGGGGAATCCAAGTTCTATGAACAAGGCTCTCATGAAGTGTAAAGACGCTTGTGACCGACTTGGATTACAACATGCGACGACGTGTGCCTCACCCAGTGGAGGAAGATTCGGTTGGCGCTTACGTTGCATTCGCTGATCTGGGATCGCTCGCTAATGAAGGCGTCAATCTGAAGACGACAAAATTCTGGGATCTAGCACGCCGAGTGAAGAGCGAGATTGACTCAAAGGTTCGACAAACAATGTTGCTGGCCGCTGTGCCCATTATCCTCGACCAGCGGGTTAACGCCAAGATACAGCCGTCCTTTGCGAAAGCCCTCAACATCCAGCATTCACAAACCTCGGATGCGAATCTCTCCAACGTGGGGCGGTATCCGTTTGCCAAAGAGCACTCGCTATTATCCGACAGCGGCAAGGAGAGTAACCTTAAGGTGAAGACACTGCATGTGTACTATTCCTCACTTGGGTCCATCATCGGTTCTTTGGGTGTCGTCGGTAGAATCATTCTGCTACTCGATGGGACACAAGTGCGAGGATGACTCAGCTAGAGCTCTATTTGCTGCGTTTGTAGCTGTTTGTGAGAATATTGGCGACATCAAGGCTGAGGACACCATGGCAGACGTTCTAGAACAGTTAGCATTGCCGTTTTGAATGGTCATACCGTAATAGCTTTACAAAGCCGCTCTAGATTTTTCCTGCAAAAACTAAGTAAACGAATGCACTATACTGATCAATAAGATCGGGTGATACAGCTAGTGCTGAAAGCCGTTGACCATCCAAGCAGAGTGGACATTGCTTTCTGAGCTGCTTTACAAAAGCCCAACGAGCAAACTCATACGCTAAAACAAGGTACAAACTATTGTAAATCATGACATGAAGTAGCATTGAATTGTTAAATCAAACTGGAAGACTCAAAGCCTAGATACAAAACGATCAGCTACTTTTACAAAGTAAATATGCAACTAAGCTTGAAAGCTTTGAACAACCACATATTATTATACATGTACCACAAAGTAAGAGCTAAACAAAAAGCCTCCATAAGTGTAAAATTACCACTTGATTCACGCAACACAACACGGACTAATAAGGGCATCAATGCAATCTCCTTAGCAGGAGCACACCTTGCTCACTATTAAGGCTCATACTAGGCTCACATCGCTGGGGATTTTTTTTTCTCTGTGACTCCTCGGTTTTTTTCCCGGTTTTTTAGTGTTGTTCTTCAGTGAGAAGTTTATGAGCTACTAAGTCAATCGACTGAGAGGTTGGTCACCCTTGAACCATCGAATCGAAATTAAATATGTGTCAAACAAAATGATACTTACGACCATTTTGAGTTATCGAGATCAGACACCTAACAATACAATACGAAATTCTACTGCAAGACATCGAGTCCCATGATCATAACGCCAATATGATGAAGAACAATAATAATAAAGGGGTCAATATAAGTATACTGTAGCCTCTAGCTACCAAGTCTTCCTACTCGGTGGCGACGAGCGAAGTCGCGTTCCACATGCGGTTTACGCGAAAAAATGTCAACATTTCAAAGTTTGCAGATATCATGCATGACCGCTGAGACGTCAGAATGAGCTTGCACTGCAAAAACAGTCGTTCAACTGTGTTCGAGGTGGGCGCCACCTCCTTTGCCAGCTCGTGAAAGCTCACACCCGCAGCACCAGCCGCTTGCATCTGCTATCCTCGTCGTAGAATCGCGTTGGCGTAGTCGCTCGTCGAGCTCTCCCTCCTCTTACCAGTTGCAGCATCTGGCTCCATCACCAATCGCTGCACTAGATATTGATGTAGTGCACGGTATCGTGCGTCCATCCATCCCACAAGACACCAAACAGCATTCCCAACTCGCTTTCGATCAGCACGCCTACGCTTTCGGAGCACTTCTTCATGTTTTGTTTTCAACGTCTTGAGCGAAACCAGCTTCCAGGACGACATGGAACTTGTGAGGTGGTTGTCGACCTCGGAGACGGGCATGTGCCTCTCCACGACCCACTGAAGCCACTGATAGCAATGCTGAGTCGCCTCGGACACGAGCGCAAAGTTGGAGAGAGGAGCGTCCGTAGCCGCAGATGCGTTGTAGGTCTCGTTGAAGTCGGGGTGCGTCAGGTAGAGGTGGGACATCAGGTTCGAGTACCCGGTCCGGGTTTGCTGCTTGCGGCAAGTACCGCAAAGCTGACAGCGGAAGTCGCCTCGCCCTTGTCCTAGTAGAAGAATGCGCAGATATCACGGTTCGGAGCCATCAAGGTCAAATGAAAAGTGACGGAGTGCTGTGAGGCTGCGGTTCGTGCTCGTGTCTGTGCTTGCCAGCCAACCACTTGAACGATTGGCGCGAAGAGCTAGTTGCCCCTAACATATCGGTATAAACCGGTATTGTATTGATATTATTGGATCAATACCATATTATATTGACTTTGGACAGATCCAGTAATAGTAATTGTAGCCGGATAATACAGTAATTACGGGATTGATATTATTTTTTCCACCCCTGATCGAGATAGTTGGCCAATTGATTTTCACACTTAACCAAAATGTGACATTTATTGTAAGCTTCCATAAAAAAAAACCTTATTCAATAGCTTTTAGCAAGGGCTTTTAAAAAACACTCAAATCTCTAATTTTGAAAATAAATTGGGCTCACCACCACTCCGAAATGTATCGTCATTTCGAGGGCCCATATATGGAGATAATATTTTTGAGCGATCACAACTTCTTTTAGTTATGTGGCTTATACCGTGTTTAGACCCGACCGGTGGAGATGCTCTTAGAGCATCTCCACCGGTCGGTCTTAACAACGGTTTTAAGCTAAAAGTGGCGCAGTTGAGACCCTGTCGAGTTTTAAGACGTCCACCGTTAAGTTCTAAAAGAGGTTTTAGCTTCAGGGAGACCTATTGGATGCGACTCGAGTCTTAAAATAAGACTCGACTTATAGCGTCGCGATGGAATCTAATTTCTATCTACCGAAAGATCGCATTGTGCAAAATGGGGAAGGGCCGCGAGTGGAGCGATGAAGACACCGTTCCGCTCTGCTTGTCGTGGCTAGAGACGTCTGAAGATCCGATAACAGGTACTGGTCAGAAGAAAGATACTGTCTACAGCCGAGTGTACCAGCATTGGCTGGAGCACAAGAATCCCGACACGGATGTGCGCAGTGTGATCGCGGTGTCTGGCAGATGGAAAAGATTTAACCAGAAGTAGCCAAGTTTGAGGGAATATTTAGGAAGGTGAAGAACAAAGTGCATTCAGGTTGGAATGAAGACAAGTATCTCGAAAGTGCAGCTAGCATATACGAAGCACGCCACAAGCAATCATTTGAGCTCATGGCAGCATGGGAGGTACTTCGTGACAAGCCTTAGTGGAGTAATAAGCTAACAACTACAGCACAGAGCAGCAACCAGCGCAAGTCGGACGAAGTGAACACGCTGGTTCGTCCAACTGGACAAAAGGCTTCTAAACGCAGCGCTCAAAACAGCAAAAACGCCATGGCAGAGGACATCCACATGCGGCGGTTTGTGATTGCGTCGGAACAGAAGGCCGCGGTGATGGAGCAACAACTTTATTTCAATATATTCATGCAAGCCCCAGACAGCACCGAATCAAAAGAGTTTTTTGCACTTCAACGCAAAACAATTCTTGCTAAAATACAACTTTGCATTTTATTTATTTTTGATATATACATTTTTTTACCCGCGGAAGCTCATGATGCAAACTCGAACAAAGATAATGATGGAGATCAAAATAGTAACGAGGTGGGTGCGACTGTTTCTGTGGTTACGAGTGACACTGGGGATACGACGAACAAGGAAAACAACGTAAACCGCTCATGTGAGAGAACTTCTGACATTCCAGCAGCAGCCGGGACAGCTCGTACACTACTGAGCAGCGTCGAGACCAAAACTACTAGCTGCTGATCTGCATTAAGTCGCACTATTTGATCACTTTCTCCGTATTCGTGCCAAATGTGTTCAATCAAGTCGTTTTTTAATTGATAATGCAGTACATTGTCCTCGGTTGCCTGGAATGCTTCAATGATATTGATGACAGGGCAAGATGTGCTGGCTACCGGTGGCGCAGGACTAACCCACCCGTCTTCGAAGAGATAATTATGGCTGTAAAAACTGTCTCCAAGTTCATCTTGTATAATCATATTGTGTAAAAAAATACACGCAATCATCACTTCGCCGATTGCTATTGCCCCCCATAGCTTACAAGGCACAGCAAGGATCCTAAAGCGTTGCTGCAGGACTCCGAACGCACGTTCAACATCTTTTCGAACTGACTCCTGTAGTTTAGCGAACAACCGTCGCTTAATAGTGCTTGGAGTACTAATACTCTGTTGAAAAATGCTCCACTGCGGATATATTCCATCTGTCAAATAGTATGCGTTGTTGTAGGTTGCTCCATTCACGGTGTAGTGTGCCTGCGGTTCCTCTCCATTAATGATATCATCAATAAGCGGAGAACGCTCCAGAACATTTAAATCGTTGTTGGCGCCTGGGGCACCGAAAAAAGCGTGCCAAATCCATCATGAACGAGACGCTACTTCTAATATCAGAGTAGATGTCCTCTCCTTCCCCTTAAACGAACCAGCCCACGCCGTGGGGCAATTTTTCCATGCCCAATGCATGCAGTCAAGACTTCCAATTATTTCGGGAAAACCACGGGCGGCGTTCTCGGCTAAAAAAGCCCCATGTCGTATTGTGTGGGTTTGCGAAGGTACTCGGCACCGAATAAACGAATAATACTTGAGCAAAACGTCTTTAAAGCCTCGATAGCAGTAGATTCTCCAATTCGTATCAATTCATCTAGCTGATCAGCACTTGATCCGTAGGCAAGCATACGCAAAGCGCAAGTCACCTTTTGTTCAGGTAAAAACCCGAGTAAGCCAGTTGCATCAGGCTTTTGAACAAAATAGTTGCATTGGTCGTCCTCCACAAGAGTGACAACGATGTACTCAAACAGTTCTCGACGCATGCGGAAACGGCGACGAAATGCCTCTGTACATCAAAGCAGAGTTGCTGTTATAGTGAATACAATACAGAAAAAACTGAGATATTGCGTGCAGCGCACGTACGGGCATCGTAGGTAGGATCTTCCCCAAAATAATCCTTCATCAGCCGTTCTCCCCACTGAGCCCTCTCTCGGTTCTTGTTGGCGTGCTTCCCTCGGTCTGAGCCGCCATGCCTGCGCTTAGGTATCTGCTGCATGTTAGCTATAAGGATGCTGGCATAAAGCTCGTCGTCGGAGTCATTTTCCACGAGAGAAAACATACCCGGATTCCACTCAAGGAATCCTGTCTGTGCGTTTGGCAGTCTGGTCACAAATGGCAGTTTGGTATTGGCAGAAACTATAGGTTAAAACCTCCCTTAAGTCTCCCCGTTGGAGGCTATTGTTGTGCTCGAGTCTTATTTTCTAATTTGGGCCTCAAAGTCTCATTTAAGACTTAGGTTAAGTCCCGACCGGTGGAGATGCTCTTAGGGCTCAGTTTTTGTTTAGAGTGCTTAAATCGCGATTCGTACATGTACTTAGAGCATCTCCACCGGTGGGGCTCTATATCTATATAGCGACTGAAGAGCTCAAATTGATAACTACTGGGGTTTCACCAGGCGTCTCTATCGCCAATTTTTTAGCTACCGGGGGGTTTCGGTCGCTATTTCGGACGCCATAGCGACTGAAATCTATAGGAGGTTGGATCACTTGCAAACGAACAATGCCTCGAAGAAAAGCTTGGTCGGACAAGGAAGACGCCGCCCTGTGCACGGCGTGGTGCGCTACCCAATCGCAGGGGCCGATCAGAGGGCGGACAACCTTTGGACGCTAATCTTGCAGTCATACCGTACGATAGTACCAGGATGCTTGTGCGGCGATACTTCGCCGCACAAGCATCTCATTAGCCGCAGTGAAGTCTCTGTCGACATTTGCAGCCTTGCCGGGCTGTGAACCGCCGTGTTTTCTCTTTTTCGGTGCGCGAGGGGTCAAAAGTAGCGAGCAGACGTACGCCTCTTCCTCGTCGTCAAGAGCTTCTCGCAGAAGACGATTTCTCCACATAGCGACAGATTGGTGAGTGATGTCTCTCGGTGTCTATCGCTAAAAACATTCCGGCCAATCGGAAGGCAACGAATCTATAGATATAGCGACACACCGGTGGAGATGCTCTTAGGTTTGTAAGTATCAATTTGTTTGACGCAGTCTCAAATAATATCATTATTATTATAATAATGATTTTATAAGGCCGTTCATTTAAAATTAAAGTTTAAATTTTGTTCTTAAGTAAGCGTTAAAATGATGGAGCACCACCAAAGACGCCCCGAACTACGTACCGTATCAGGACAACTATTAATACCTAAATATTGTTGTACTTCATTTGCCATGGTATCTCTAGACGCACAGCTTTCGACACTGAGCAAGAAACGGTTGGAGTTCCAACTTAATTACCAGTTTTTTTCGCGTGCACAGAGTATCATTAACTTCAGAACTTCTTCGCTCGTCGGTTTTTTCTTGTTAATCATGGCAGTCGTGGGTGTCGATAGCAGCGAAGGTGATACGCTGTTGCACTTAGAAACAAAGTTGTTTTCTTCCACTTAGATATTTCCTGATAAAGTTAACTCATCAAAACGAGCCAGAACATCAGTCAGGTTTTCTTCGCCTCCAATGCTACCCAAACTCTCACACAGCACCACTATCGCCGTGAACAAGTTGTTCCCCACATCATCCTTCACCTTGTGTGCCATCGAATAGCTGAACGCGTTTACCGAAGACAGAAAGATCGTAACGGAAGGAGCGAGATGTGGCAGGGCCTTGAACACATGCAAACTCTCAATAGATAGCACATTGTGCGGAGTCGAATGCGTGCTTTCGAGTCGCCACGATCGGGTCAAATCACTTGCACTATCCGACGGCATCATCACTTGACGAGATTTCTTGTATGCCAGGAGACCCCGTCGACTTTCAGTGTCATAACTATCAGTGAGTGAATGATTTTTCTCGAATGGGTACTGGACCAGTTCAGCGACTCCAACGTCGGCGGTGATGGAGTGAGCGACTCGAGCTTTCTTGAGGAAGGATGGATCCATCTGTGCGTTGAGTTTCTGATCAGCCGTGATAGTAGGCAGCGCCATGTTCACAGTGTTCTTGAGATTCCCTTCGATCTCTCGACTAGCACGACCGGCCAAGTCCCAGAAGCGCGTGGTCAACATATCCACTCCTTCCGAGTTGAGCCAGTCAAGATCGGTCGTTGCAGTGTACATACCTACTTGGTTCTCCTCAGCAGGGTATTGCACTTGGTGACGCATGTTACAGTCAACATCCATTGCAATTCGAAACGGGTTGAAGCGTCCACGCTGCTCTTTGTTACTGCGCACACGGTAGAACGCGAGAAGAGCGACAACAACCAAGACACCATTCAGAGTCACGCCCTCCTTCCTGCATTTGGCATATGCTTCACGCATACACTTAGCGTCTCCATCAGCGAATAGCGCTTTGGTGCTGTTGGTTACGGGCGGTACTGCAAAGTCCTTCAGGTCGTCTCGAGCCGGTAGTAGAGGCGTGAACTTGTGCACGTTTCCCCGGAACATGCGACGTCCGAAGATCGCGTTCGTGCCTTTGAGTAGCGGCTTGGCCCACGTAATCTTGTTGAGCCACATGCGATAGAGCGACGGACGAAGTGGGTACCCCTTTGGCGTCAAAATGGATGGTCTTTGATTGTCCGATGCGGTTTTTATAGCGAGCTTCGACACTTGCTCCAAGATGCAGTTAAGCACCACGGCACCTGAGAACCCGTCAGACATGTATTGGTCTGAAAAGAGCATTAGACGAGCAGTGTCTTTGGGTTTGGCGACCCATACTGAGAGGTAGAAGGGCAGCTGGCAGTAGCGGTCAAAGCCAACACTGCACTCCCTTTCGACGTATGACTGCCAACTCGTTGGACTACCGTCTCCATAGTCTGCGGGTGTCAACACCCGCACTTGCAGTAGTTTAGCGACAGAGTCAACGGTAACGGGAGCTTGAATCTCGGCTGTGAATTGTTGGTCTTTGAGTTGGTGAGCTCGCATCCGAGGATGCATGTTGAAGGTGTGCATCACTGCAGTGGGTAGGAAACGAAGTAGAATCGCCGTGTCACCGTGGACGAGCATTGAGTGCGCGATCTTGACGGACGCACCGTCGGATGCAGTGACCATCCGCTCAACACCTCGAAGAGATACGCGACTGCCGGCCGCACAAGTTTCGACTTCAGTACTCATGACTTGAGTTGGTTAGTCCTCGGAAGTGGAAGTGTGATCGAGTGCTCGCTCGATGTCGAATTTGATAATGAGCGATGAGTCTGGCGATGGAACTCGCTCTTGGTCGGAAGCGAGTCGAACGTATTGATGGCTATTCGATGGCATGTCGGACGAGCGTTTCTACCTGCGGGTGTTCAATTCATGGAAGGAATGGGAGGTGAGGAACATTCTGTAAGAGACTTGTGCTCCGCCTCTGACGAAATTGTGGCGATGTTGCCAGCATGATATCGTCTGGACGAAGCGCTCGTGGGGTCGAGTGATGTCTTTATGCTCTAGTGACTCGACTTGAGTTTATAGTTTTGCAACTTGAAAGGCTCGGAAACGCATTTCTATTCATAGCAAGTTGACAACATTGAGGCCGCGTTCACTCCTTGGAAACTCGCACTTGCGGACAATGAGCTCGTGGGTAGTGGTTGACGACACACCCACAGCTACAGTCGTTTGGATGGCTGCTGAGCAGATCGGTAAAGCCAAGAATCACGAGCAGCTTCAGAAGATCTGCGACTACCTCGTCAAGTACGACACTCTAGATGAAAGCTAAGTTCTCTAACTAAATTTTTGGTTTTTCGTGTGGCCGCAGTAAGCACTGGTTCCAGACTGCGGGGGATCTAAGAAGTGCTCGACAAGAAGCTATCGAATGGCAAGCGTACGTTGAAATGCCGCCTCAAGCTTGTTAAAGACGAAGGGATAAGTCTAACAGGTGTGGATGTCGATAGGCTGGAGGTGCCAGGACGTCTAAAGCTTGCCATTCAGCAAGTTTTGGATCAATCGACGCTCCACGAGTCGGTGCCAAACTACGGCTACGACGAATACTACGCGGCAGTCCGTCCTTCACAAGAACCAAAAAGTGAAGCCACAACGCAGGAGTGGACCGAGGCTTCGACTAGCTATGCCTCTGCTGAAGGGACTGATCAAACAACAGCGAATTACTACTACTACTCAAGTGACTATGACTACTATTCATCCAAAGATGCAACGACAGACCTGACTACAGCTCATTACGACTGCGACCATGCTAACTATACAGCAATTGACAGCCCGCCATCTTATGAAGAAAGCTCAAGACAAACAAGTTACGAGAACTATTACAGCAACACAAGCAGTTACGATAGTGGAGAGGCAGCGACCACCTTGCTTAGTTTGCATGGAAGTTTGGAGCAGTCTCAAGACGGCGAAAGTGACGTCGTTGAAGCGCACGCCCTGGAAGCAGAGGCCGCTGAAGAATACCAAGAGAGCGAGATGACAATAGAGCAGCCATCGTACGCTGTAGAGCTTGGCGAGTCAACTCAACAAGATGCCAGTGGAACTAGCGGGACCTGGAGCTGCGGCCAGTGCACGTACCTGAACCCGGTGACGTCGTCGTTCTGTGAGATGTGTATCGGTCATATTTCACTGTCTTCAGACGTCAAGACGACAGCCGACACAAGCGTCTCTGCCTCCTTGCTGGTCCCAGCCAAGCCGCTGGTCGATATAGCAGCGAGTTCGCCTCAGAAAGAGCCTCCAGTCCTTCAATCTTCACAGCCAAGGGTGACCTGTATGGCGTCTCCAATAGGTTCATTGTATCCTCCGTCAGCACCAGACTTCGAGAGCTCTGAAGAAGAACGGGTAGACACGTCTCCACTCCCCCCTCCACCGCCATATCCAGGCACCAGCAGCTGTGGTAACGTAGACTTCCTGGCGCTTGCATTTAGTGGCAATAGTGCTCCGAAACCACAAGTAACTCCTCGCTCTTCACCCACAGGGAAAAGCTGTCAAATGCGGCGTGAAGAGACCACCGCTGAGTACACGTTTTAGGTCATTCCCCCACGATCATAAGCCCACATAAACGTAAGGATAACAACCAGTAAAACAGCCCGTCGCCAAACGCCTCAGTTACTTTCACCTGCGGGGTTTAGCCTCAGCCTACTTCGCGTAAGGGCACCAGACTTCGTTCATCTCGACGTACACGGACTTGAGCTGCGTCCACGAGTCAATACCGGCAAGTCCGTTCTCACGACCGACACCAGACTTCTTGTAGCCACCCCACGGAGTCTCCACTGGCGCCAAGTTGTAATTGTTGATCCACGTCGTGCCAGCCTGCAGCTCATCGATCATGCGGTGGGCGCGTGTAATGTCCTTCGTGAAGACACCAGCCGAGAGGCCGAAGATCGTGTCGTTCGCACGCGCCAGCACTTCCTCTTCGGTGTCGAATGGCAGAATACACATGACCATGCCAAAGATCTCTTCACGTACGATGGTCATCTCGTCCTTGCAGTCCACAAAGATCGCAGGGGTGAGGAAGAAGCCATCCTTGGTGGCCTCCGACGGCATAATACGTTCACCTCCGCCCTTTAGCAACGTGGCGCCTTCACCCACGCCCTTCTCAATGTAACTCTGCACCAGTTCCATGTGCTTCTTGTGGATCATCGGTCCAATGTCTGTGCTTGGGTCCAGTGGGTCACCGATACGCAGCTTCAAAGTGCGTTCATGCATACGCTGCACAAACTTGTCAAAGATTTTACGCTGCACGAACACTCTCGTGCCGTTGGAGCACACCTGGCCGGACGAGTACCAGTTGCCCATCATAGCACCGGCTACAGCCTGCTCGATGTCGGCGTCATCGAACACAATAAGAGGCGACTTGCCTCCGAGTTCCATCGTCACTTTCTTGAGGTCTTTTGCTGCGCCTGCATACACATTGCGACCAGTACCAACTGAGCCAGTAAACGAGACCTTGGCGACGTCCTGGTGCTCCACTAGCGCTTGTCCCGTCTCGCCTGCTCCCAATACCACATTGAAAACACCCTTGGGGACACCAGCCTCCACATAAGCTTCAGCCAGCTTCAAGGCTGTGAGCGGCGTCTCCTCAGAAGGCTTGAACACCATCGAGTTACCGAACGCCAAAGCAGGTGCAGACTTCCAGGCCGCGCTCTGCAGCGGGTAGTTCCACGCGCCGATACCGGCAGTGACGCCCAATGGCTCGCGCTTCGTATAAGCCCAGCTGCCTCCCGTGAGCTCCAAGTGTTGACCCCCTACAGACGGACTCACTCCGCCATAGTAGTTCAAACAGTCTGTGGCGCTCAGTATGTCCGTGACGGTCGTCTCAGCGATGGGACGACCAGTGTCGATGGTCTCGCGCGTCGCGATCTCGTCTGTCTTGGCCGTCAGGATGTCTGCGGCTTTGCGGAGGATGGATCCACGCTCGGCGGGACTCAGACGTCGCCAGTGTCTCTGAGCGGATCGAGCTGCGCCTACGGCCTCGTCCACTTGCGCCTTATCAGCAGCTGTGAACGACGTCTCGGGCTTGCGCGTCGTGGCGTTAAGCAACGTGAAGCTCGGTGCCGACGCCCGGGGGGCCACGTACTTGCCGTTGATGAAAGACTTGACTACGCGTGCCATTCTGGGAAATGATGTGATGGAGGAATGATTTGTGGCCGCACAGCGAAAAGTCTATGATATAGAATGCTCATGCGGGACGATAATGTGGACTGTTCGCCTATCAGATTGTTGAGCAAGGATGCCGTTACAACGGGCTGCCAGTGCCAGTGCGGTGCGGCTCTCATTTCGGGCTGTAGGCCAATTCTCTCGACCAGCGGCAAGTCCGACCTTGTTGGCTGGTGTCTGGCAAAGCCCTGGAGCTTTATTACACCGCTCATCACTGTCTAGAAGCCAATTTATTCAAGTTTACCCGGCTGTGACTCGAGCGTTCAGTACATTGCTGGGCAATGGTGCCGCCCCCCAACCTGTTGCTGCGTCCGAGCCTGCGATCGCGCTACCACGTAAGTACGAGTTGCAGCCGGACGACGTGCACTGTTTCGTGGGGCTAAACGGCAGCGGGAAGACACAGTTCTTGGCCAAGCTACAGGCGCACGTTAAGGCGCAGCAAGCACGGGGGGCACTGCCAGCCTCCTGTCGATTGGCGAGCCTCAGTTTCGATGCTCATCGAGAATTCGTGGCGGAGAATGGACACCGCGTGGTTGCAGATGTGCTCGGTGGGATTGGCTCCCCTACTGCTCGGGATCTGATTGTGAGACTGGGACTGTTCCCCGTGTGGGAACAGCGAGTGCGCCACCTGTCGACAGGAGAAATGAGGAAGCTACTGCTTGCAGTGGCGCTGTTGGAGACTCCGAGAGCGTCGGTGCTGATTCTGGACCAGCCGTTTGACGGGTTGGATGTGAAGGCGAGACGACAGCTACAGTGGATGCTTGGACAGCTGACGAGGGGATTTACGAGGCTCTTAGTGGAAACGACAGGAGCCAAACACGAGGCGTTTGCCTACAAGACTCAAGTGTTGCTGGCTGCGAACAGATTGGAGCAGGTTTTCCCTGAAATCTTTTCACACACAGTGCTGTTAAGACAAAGTGATGGCGATGACCATGGAATCGAGGTCGTAGCCTGGCCCGAAGACAAGGAAGACGATGCACGCAACAAGGCCATGATGAAGCGTTTGGAGGATTTCTACGCTGAAGAGCACGAGAAGCGAATGAAGATGACGGAGACGGAGCTGAAATCACTTGTCGAACAACTCTTCAAGTGCCGGGATGAAGCACGATGTGTTGACGTCGACACTCCCGCTGTGCAATTAAATGGCGTGTCGATCTCGTACGACCGTAAGAGAATCCTGCTTCAAGACGTCGATTTCGAACGCCAATCACACGAACACTGGGCTCTGCTTGGGCCTAATGGCTCCGGCAAGAGCTCTCTTATGCGCGTCATGATGCAGACACCAGGTCACGGCCTGACAGAGGGCGAGGTCTTGGTCGTCGGGGAGCAAGTACGGCCCTTTGGATCTGGCGCTGCCATCGACGACGCGACTACGAGCTCTAAGCCAAGACTCGAAGCCATCTCGACGGATCAGCACATCCAGCTATTGCACAAAAGCCTACAGACAGAGAAAGCTGAAGACCAAACTGCGTTTACTCTCCTTGAGAGCAACGCGGCGAGCTCTGAAGCTGCCGAACTTGCCATGCGCTTGCTGGTGCTTCCAGATGCAGTGAAGACGCGCAAGCTGTCGCAACTCTCGCAAGGCGAGCAGAAGCTCGTTCTGATTGCTCGCGCACTGGCTGCATGCCCGCAGTTGTTGATCTTAGATGAGATCACGCACGGACTGGACCCGTTCAACCGCGCTCATGTGTTGCGTGTGATCGAAACTATTGGTCGGCATGCAGCACAACTGACGCACATGGTGCTTATCACGCACCACGAGGAGGAAATCACGCCGTGTTTCTCGAACATCTTTAAAATCCAAGACAAACAGATTGTCGAGCGACCTAGACAGGAAGAGACTGCATGAACAAGAGAGAGAGTAGTGGAGCCTTTGATAGCTTGGCTGTTTATTGAATTAACTGTGATCTTAGCAAAAGTGACCTGGAAAAAGAACAGCCTTACGACGTGCCGTAGAGCAGCGCTGGTCCGTCACCCGAAGTGGCGTTCAACTGAGCAGCGGGCTCACGCAGACGCCTGTAGTGCTGACGACGGCGCTGCCGGATTGCAATAGCGACACCCAACGCCATTGCCGAAAGCGCACATAGGAAGAATAGCGGATAGTGCACGTACATTTCGTGACTCGAAAGTCCACCTGAAGACTCGTCCAGTGGTGATTTCTGAGCAGACATGCTATTGTCTGGATATCCACCACTAGGCGGAATGATTTCGCCTTTGCGAGCACAAGTTGGTGGCCGGTGGCCCTTGTTGCACGTACACTTCGCACCCGGTCCTGCAGAGCAAAACCCGTAGCCCGAGCAGAACGGTGTAATCGAGCCATCCGACATGTAAACTCCCGCTGACAACCAGCACGGGTCAATCGACGGCATGTCCATGCTGGTGTTGGAAGCCTTATACGCATCGCAGGCTTTTACAGTAAAAGCCTTGCGAGGCTTCGGAAACTCGACAGCATTGCTGTAGCTTCCAGGGTTTGCGAGACAGCCTTTATCATTCCCATTCGCTGCGCAGTTGTAGGCTGGAAGTTCACCGGCGGCAGCACAGACATCGTGGTCAAGTGTCTTGTAGAATTTGGCAACACTCGAGTCCATCCATTTCGCACGCCCCAGAACCGCGTTGATGAGTATGTTGACCTGATCGTCGTAACTTCCCTTGACCTTTTTGGCGTAAACAAACGCGCACTGCAGGTTGTCGCTCTTCCATTCGACACATTTCTTCAACTGACGCTGAATAGGCTCAGCGCTAGAGTGGATGAATGAAGTAATGGACTCGTCACTCCACGTTGTCGAACGCAGCTGGACCCACCTCTGTTGAACGAGGGAAGCGAATTTGTAGTTGCACGTGAGACGCTTCCAGAACGAATGAATCGTGTACAGCCAAGTCGTCTTGATGCCACCTTTTCCGTAAGCCAAATTGAAATCCCAGACAGGGCCAGCATTTATAGGTTGGTCGCGGTCCTTGAAGAAGAATGTGCTACGGCGATAAGCATCCGAATTCATCGAGAACTCCGAATGCAGGAAGTAGTCTACGAACGAGCCAATGTCGATATGCTCCTGTAGTCCGTCCGGGTTGGTCATATTATCGTGAAGATACTGGTACAAACGGGGGAGCGGTCCGGTCTCAGGCGACACAAAGTAATCGCGCATTCTTTGCGTGAGGACTTTTGGTTCGGGGAATGTCAGGATTGGCCTCTCACCAGCGCCAAAAAGCCCCGTCGCTTCGTTCAACACGAGGTTGGGCGAGTAGTCACCGTATGTCAGTGGGTTGTTTTGCCATGCCCAACCTCCAGAAAGCTCCTCATTCGTCTTGCAAGCGCTGTTCAGTTGAGTCAGTCCAACACGATTCGGGGTGTACGCGATCTTTTCCAAAGCCAAGTAGATGCCTTGGTACCGTGGGCTCCAGTCGACAGTGTCAAGTCTGTCACGAACAAATACCACAAGATGACGGGTTCGAGGTGAATATCGATCCGTGCCGCGGAACATCCAGTGAGCTAGATGGTTGCGCATCAAACTCGCATCAATTGTTGGACCATTCAGCACGAAAGTCCGATCCGCTGGAAATCCGAGCAGCTCACTTGCTTCATTCAGGTCAACCGCAAGCTGGTGCTTCGCAAAATGGAGACTAGATTGCCCGCGGTAGTGAACGCTAGCGGGATACACCGCGGTTCGGTTGCCTTCCAAGCAGTTGAGCGTGCCGTTGACGTTGTCAATAACTTCGATCTTAGCCTCGACGGGGTCCTTCATGCAGTCACGTGCGGGCAGGCGAGGTTGGTTACAGGTCTCGGTTGGTAACTTCACTTTGGTCGGTGACACAATCACGATCGGCAACTCGAAGCACGCTGAGTAGATCGCAAGCACAGTACAAGGGTTAGTTTCCACAGCGCACTACAGCTGAACACACCTTAGCAAGAAGATCTTACTTTTGTCTGATGCGATCACCACATAACTGCACAACACGATCAATGCCAACAGCAACACCTGGAGCTTTGCAAATCTCATCGTCGAACTTGTTCGCCCACGAATATCTTGATCCGTTGTGGCTGCCTTAAATTCGAGAATGCCAGAGTTTTGTACAACTGCTGAATGCAGTCGACGGAATTTGACTCGTCGATGGGTGTTGATTAGGATTTGTAAGCGACACCCCGGCAGTTGGTTTCAAAGGTCGCAAGATCTCTTAAAAAAGGCCGGCCAAGATTACCAGCCCTCACTGACCGGGTAAGTTCATCATTCCGATTAAGGTGCGCGCTGATGCCCCAGTTGAGTCGTTTCGCATTCTGCTGGCACCATTCTCTGTCGTCATGTTGCTTAAGAAATATAATGCTCCCAGAAACGCTTGCACCTGGTCATCACCACCCAGCTCGTTCCGTACATCCACGTAGCGTGCAAGCAGCCCCAAAAGAGCAAGCGAATCCTGAATTAGATGCGTACGAAACGGGTCCTTCAGCAAATCCTGCGTCCCACTCGCTGTCCGGTCACCAAATGTCTCGTGATGAAGAAGCTGGGACAAATAATAAATAACTGACCGATATCCGTCTGCGTCGTCAGGAAGGCCGTGAGTACTTTCCAGAACGAAACGAATTCCTTCGGATGGGAACGACGTAACGATCGAGAGCAGTAGCTTCACGATCTGGTGCTGCAGTGTCCGCAGATTCTTGGCCTCATCAAATGAAAGTTCTTCTTCATTCGCCAGCATCTTGGCGCATCGATTGAATAGCAATGACTTCTTGGACTCAGCCTCCACTTCAGCGAAAACTTCAGGAGCGCGAAGCAGCTGGGAAAGCAATCCAAGTGCTTGCGCCTTGACAGTAGGAAGACCTTTAGGTGCCAACAAAATAGATGGAATGACGTTGCTTGTCAGCAAGGGTTTAAAGTCTGGGGTTAGTGCCGGCCGATGCGTAAGTCCGAGGTCGACCCAAAAGCTGAGTACGCACAGACCGTCTTTCACGACGGCAGGCTCCTTGAGATTGTTTTTCATTACTCGACAGAGTGCACTCATGAGCTTCAAACAAAGTTTCCGTTGTTCTGAAGCAGCTTCTGCTTCAGATAACTGTAGCACGTCGCTCTGAACCACCGATTCATAATCCGATCGAGCTGACAAGTACTCGTCCAACGAGGTAAAGCGCAGCCCTTGCAAAGCAATGCGGGGGTGCTCCGTTCTGTTTGAGTTGCGCTGCAGCCTGGAAACTGGAGACGAGGAGTCATCGGAAGGCGACGACGCCACCAGTAAAAAGCGCTGGAAATGCGCGCTGTAATGCATCACCGAGTACATGACGCGCAGCACACTGCAAATCACGGTCCACTCCAAATCTGTTGGAGCCGCGAGGTACTTGACGAATACTGGTGCAAGGGCAGCAGCAGTAACATCCCCAGCCAGCATTTTGCCAATCACATCGTACAGTTCTCGCGCGCGATCCGTGGCCAGTGCATTCTGCGTCGCATTGTTCTGTCTAGCAACAGTCAAAATCGACGCATGTGCCTGAGCGGACACTCTCCCCGCAAGTTGCGAGAATACGCTCTGTGAGAACGGAACTCCACTAGCCGATTGCTGCATCGAGTCACTTAGTGAGTTGCCGGACGATCCTTGGAGAAATTGCGTCGGCGTCGAGCTGTGGCATCCTTGCAGTGGCTGCGTTCGGACATAATCAACAGGATTAGGCTGAGCTTTTTCCCCAGGCTCCACATTAACAATTCCATTCAGGAGAGTTAAGAGGTCCCTTGAGGTGCCTGTCAATAGATGCGACACCAGTTTCGCGTTCTCTTCCCTTAGACCACCACTGCCGCCCTCTCCTCTCTCGTCTCTGAACTTCAGCTCGGTCTGGACGGCCGTTTCCACCACAGGCACCGGTGATGGCCTCAGCACCTGTTGCGAATGCTGCGACAGCTGTTGGGACATCCTCATGGACTGACTGGCGGTGAGGAGGCTCTCGTGTTTGCGACGTCTAGTGGCCATAAGTCTACGCTCAGCGTCGCGGCGCTTGGCCTCGATGGTGTGCTTCTGCTGCAGCTCCTCCACTTCCTTGATGGCACGCCACTTGACTCGCTCAGCATTCTGCAATCTTTTGGACATGAAAGCGAGCTTGGATTGTAGGGCCGCCATGCGCTTCTGCATCTCGCGCTCCTTCTTGTCGCTCTCGTATTTGGACTCCGTTTCGAACAGCATCATACTTGCGCGCAGATCGAAGTTGTCATCCTCCGCCTCTTTCAGCTTGGACGTCAAGATACACAGCATACCGTCTGCTTTGCCCTTCTCGTGCTGCAGCTGCTGCAACGCCTTCTGAAGACGCGCGGAGTTGTCCTGCGGCGAGCCATACATGGTGCTACAAATACGTTGAGTGCGGAATTGAAATTGTTGCAGTGCAGAGTGACTGTTTAGACTTAAGGTTTGTAAAGGTTCAATAAAAACATGACATTTCTGATAAAGTCTGAGAATAACTCGCCATTATTCGATTCATTTCTGATGGAGCTGAGCAAATCGCTTGAGGAGGCCAAGGACGCCGCTGTGACGGAGGAGGCTGTCGCGACGCCGCCCGCTGTCGACGGAGCCTCGGCTGACCGCCCGCTGTTCGACGAATTTTACGACGACTGGGCGTCGTTCGACGCTGCCATTGCGCGCGCAACGGCGGCGTACCACCCGATCCGCAAGCGCTCGTCGCTGACCTTTGAAGTGTACAACCGCACAGTTTCCAAAGGCAAGCACGATCGCAAAAACATAGCCGAGTTCTTGTCTAAGACTTTTAAATGCACACACGGCATCAAGTTTCGCTCGCGAGGCAGCGGCAAGCGGATGCGGCATAAGTTAAGGGATATCGGGTGCCCGTTTCACGTCTACGCGTCAGCGGTGGAGTACGGGGCTACATACCGCGTCAAAGTGCGCACGCATGACAAGCACAACCACCCGATTGGTCCAGACTCCATGAAGATGATGAGCGGCACGCTGCACGAGTCAGACTATGAACTAGTGACGCACGATATGGACAATGAAGCGGCGTCGACGCAGCAGAACGCTGAGTCTAGTACGGCGAGCTCTCATGTGCATCAAATAGAGCACGCTATGTCGTCGGACAGCGCAGCGGAGGTAACACACGCGGCGTATGAACGACAGATGAGGGAACAGCTAGCGGAAGCAGAGGCCAAAGTACACGCTCAAGCTCAAGCCCATGCTCAAGCACAAGCTGAAGCTCATGCACAGGATGAAGCTCAGTCACAAGCCTACCAGTATGCCCAAGCGCAAGTCTTGCTGAAAGCTCAAGCGGAAGCTCAGGTGATGACTGACGCTCAATTGCAAGCTCGAGCGCAGGCGATTCTGCAGGCTCAGCATAACGACACACCAGGGCAACCCCAACCTGTTGACGCTGCAGATATTCTGAGTGCAAGCGCTCACGGTAGTGAGTTGTTGGATGGAGCGATTGATGGTACTATGGGTGACGATGTTTTCTCTGGTTCTTCGGCTGCGACGATGACGACAACTGACGTTGCAGTCGCTTCCAATAGCGACATTCAAGATGATTCTTCTAACGAGTTTCAAGTCCCAGCGAAGTTTGAAGAGACGATGACTCTTGAGTCGCTTCGAAAGCGAATCGCGGACTTTGCAGACGAACGCGATTGGAATGAGGTGCACTATACCTTTTGCGATGCCCTAACAACTTACTGTCACTAACAAATCAACTGGAACATTGTACCTGGCATTACCAGTTTCACACGCCACGCAACTTGTTATTAGCTCTTAACGGCGAGGTGGGTGAGCTTTGTGAGATCTTTCAGTGGAAGGGCGAGGTTAAGAGCACGGCAGGTAAGCATCCAGGCGATTTCTTTATGGCGAGTGCTAGCTGATGCACTAAACTGTCGCTTGCGTCATGACAGATTGGTCGCCGCGAGACAAGGAGCACCTTGGCGAGGAAATTAGCGATGTGCTGATTTATCTGGTGCGACTTGCCGACAAGTGTGACGTGAACCTACCTGCCGCTCTGAACGATAAAATTGCCAAGAACGCCAGAAAGTACCCTGCCGAACTGGTTCGTACACACAGTGCTACATCGTGAGCCTGATTTGGCATACTGTTTGCTAACGCGCTTTGTGCTTTTGTTAACTACAGGTGAGAGGATCATCGAAGAAGTACAACGAGTACAAGCGGATGCGGATAACGGAGGAGTCAACCTTGTAGAGAGGCTTACAATGCAGGACACCAATCCGTCGTTTGAGTAACATTCGTTGATGTTCAATTGTTCATTGCAGCGAGTGCCCTCAAGAAAAACCATGCGATACAGTATATAAAAACAGCGAATTCACCACCACGAAGGTGCGCAGTGCATCCAGCTGTATTGAATCTGCAGGCAAAGCGCTTCCATCTAATCCTGTCGAGTCGCAAGCGGGGAAGCCACGCTAGATATGGGCTGCGCCAGAACGCTTGCAGCACGGTGTCGTCCATCCTTGCCGAATCTGTACTCGCTTAACCCTGTCGGCGCTATCCCTGTCTAATCCTCCGGAGCGTCACCGTCCACCATGCGGCTCTCGTTCTCAAGCTTCTCAATCATCTGCAGGAACTCCTTCTCCTCGTTCACGCTCACCACCTTCGGCTCCATCTTGACGGACATGGTGCCCTTCTTTGCGGTAATGTGCTCCCGCACGGCCTCGATGGCCTCCTGGAGCTTCTGGATACCCTTCTGCTTGTCCAGTGTGCTGGTGGTCATGACGTACATGGGCGGCGCAATGAGCTTAACCTTGACGGGAACGTCCTCAGTGCCAACGTTCTGACCAGCCTGCAGAGCCGACCGAATGGCCTCAATGCCCTCGTACGTGAAGCACGTGACCTCAATGTCCGCACGGATCTTGATTGGCTGCGGGGTTAGCCGGCGGCGGATCTGTGCCTTGAGCGCCGTAAGGATTTCAGGCGTGATATCCAGACCCTCAAAGACTGCGTCATCCGTGATACCCATCTTGAAGACGTCGTAGCAGTGCACGTATTCGACCTTCTTCTCATCTTCACTGGGGGTCTCGATCTTAAACTTCTTGTAGAGTGGCCAGGCTACCTTCGAGTACAGATCCTCGATCTCCAGGTGGTTCTCCTGAGCCACCTGTCGCAGAACACCGTGCACGGTCTTGGCCTTGTTGTAGCGCTCCTCGCACTTGGCAATGTCCTCAGGGGATACACGACGCTTGGACAAATCGATGTAGCCCTTCTCCTTGTCCACACGAAGCACCATGACCACCTCGTTCTTGCCGACACGGATGAGCTTGTTGATGGATCGAATGCGGCGTCGAGACAGCTCGGACAACAGAATCATACCCTCGATGTTGTTATACTCAAGCAGCGACACATAAGCGCCCATCTCGGCGATGGAACGCACGTTCACCATAACCAGCTCATCGATCTCCGGGAATCTCTGCTCGTAAAAACGGCACTGCAGGTGCAGAATCTCCTGAGCTTGCGTCGTCTCCTCGCCGGGCACTACCGTGGGGGTCGTCTCAGCCATCTTACTCGTCGGGACAGATTTCTCTCACTTGCAGGGAGCTGTGTGCCAGCCACCAGTGTATGAGGCAACCACAAGAACTTTTTGCTTTAATTGCGTGGCAAACATAAACGTACTTAATCGAAACATGAGGTCAAAGACCTATTCCGTACACAGCATTATCGTTCCCAACAGGTCCTGTTGGGCTGTGTACCTGTTACCGGACAGGGCGAGGTGACCGAGGTGGGTTAAGAACCGGTCTATGGCTGATTTTCTACTAGCCTACCCCTAAACAGACAAAACCATTTCTTAAAAAATGTTGGGTCTTAAAACCTGTTTTATTAAATCCAAATAAATGCTGAACTGCCTTTTAAAATGATTGTTTTCAAAATGATGCTTTAGCATTGGGTGGGTGGGTGGGTGGATTTAAAGAATTATTCCCGACCGATTAAACCCACTCGAAACCACCACCGCTATCGAAGTCGTGTGTTTGTTGTTCTTGGCCTTGGGAGCTGTCAGTGACGCTCAAGTATATGGGTTCACGAGCTATTTCGTGGATAAGTAGCACGCCCTCCACATAATCTTCATTATGATAGACTTTGTGGCAGTACTCACGGTGCTCATCGTGCCGGTAGCCGATAACTCAAGTTTTCCAGACCCGTTAGCCTAGTATAAATACTCAACGGGTACCGAGGAGCCGCTTCTCCACTCAACGTGGGTTGACACTACTTGAAGGATACGTTGAAGAGTCAGCAGCAACGCTTCCCTTGTAAAGTTACAATTTTTCAAGACGATACTTTTCAAGACGAAAATTGGTGGAATGCGAAGTTTATTCTTGCTGAAAATATGTTTTTAGATCTACAGACCGTTGAACTCCAAATTGGCTGCACGCAGCAGCCAAAACAGAAGCTGACCTCCATTCGACGAGACGAAACTAGCCCCACGTCTGCACGGAGACCATGCCCAGCCCCGCGATCCTGGAAAAGCAAAAGGTGGTGCCGATGATCTTCAGACGGCATGGAGACACTGCGCCCAAGAACCGTGGTCATATTTTAGGCAACGCTAAGCCTGCAACATTCTACATCCGCGAGCTGGAGCGTCAAGGGGACAATGGGACTACCACATTGTTGGATGCATCCGTTCTGCTGGCAACCCGCCCATTTAACCCAAAGTTCATTGCATACGACAAAAAGGTACTGCGCTTCGAAGCGTATTTCCTGGAAGCCGTGCACGAAAGCAATCTCGAGAACTACCGAGTGCGCCGTTGCGAAGTGCTGTACTACCTCGAGGACGATACGTTGCAGGTCACGGAGCCCAAGGTCGAGAACAGCGGTATCCTACAGGGAAACTTTGTGAAACGACATCGCATCCCGATGCCGGAGAGCGATGACCGTGGTAACATGCAGTATTTCACGCTGCGCCATCTAAACGTGGGTGAAGAGCTGACCTTTTATGGTCGGATGTTCCATCTCATCTCGGCGGACGAGTTCACGCGTGATTACCTCGTTTCTCAAGGATTCCATGTGCCTCCGGATGAAGCGATTCCACGAGACCCGTACACAGTGCTACGTCAAGCACACATGGCTCGGGAGACTGGGCAAGATCCAGATGCGCACTATGGCAAGAAGAAGTACCCAATGAAAGACTTTATGGAGGCCTCTCTGGGAAAATTTGCGCGGCCCAGCGACAACCTTCGCCGATTCCTGGCACATGATCGCGAGGTCCTGCGCTTCTTCGCTATTTGGGACGACAGAGAGAAGCTCTATGGTATCCGTCACCGCTACACCCTTCACTTCTTCTTGGCTGACAACACCATCGAAATCCTCGAGTCATATGATCGAAACTCCGGCTGTGATCCATTCCCAAAGCTGCTTAACCGGGCGAAGCTATGTAAGGATCCGGAACGCCAAGCTTGTGCTGCAGTGTGCGACGAAGCAGCAGATGATGAAGAAGTCCCCCCACATAATTATTACTCGTGGGAGGATTTGGCTATTGGCGAATACCTGCAGGTCTACAACCGACAGATCCTCTTACTGGACGCTGACGCATCTACGCGTTCGTGGTACGAAGAGCACAACGTGCCTCTCGCTCCTGCTATTTCCATCAAGGACGTGGTGCCGCTTCGGCCGGCGTTTACACCGCCAGTACACGACGGATTGGGCTCCGAGGAGGATTCGCTGCAGTCCTGCTACCACTTGCTGCCCAAACCTCCACTCAAGAGCATTGAATCTCTCGATACGACCGAAGTACTGCGCTTCCGTGCACGCTTCGAGACCGAACAACCAGAGGATGTAGGACGTCGCTTTGTGATTTCAGTCATTGTGTCCGACCAAAGTGTGTCCATTATCGAGTTCATCCAGCGTAATTCTGGTATCGTAGGCGGCAAGTTCCTTGAGCGCACGCGTATCAAGCGTACCCGTCCTGACGGATCCGCTGTGATGACGGACGGACGCATTTCGTGGCTCGATCTGGATGATTTTTATGTGGGTGCTCGAGTTCGAATGACAGGCCGCACTTTTGTGCTATTCGAAATGGACGAGTACAGCGCCAAGTACATGGAAGCTCGTCCTGCCAAATTTGCACGGTCCGACAAGCTTACTGTGCTACGAAAAGTGCGTGACCAAGTGGACAAGTCGGCGCTGGCAGCTCGCATAGGTGACCTTCAGAGTAAGCAGAGCCAAGTTGACGTCGAGGAGTTGACGTCACTCCTTAACGACCTTACTGTCGACATTGCGCAGCATGACGCTGTCACTATCATCCGAAACTATGGAGACAAGACAACCATGAAAATAGATGTCGGGGCGCTTCCACAGCTGCTGGCTTAGTCATGAGAAGGCTTATTAGGCAGGCGAGACTTATAACGCAGAGCCTAATAATTTACGCGAATGCATTACAGTCCATTGCTTTATGCCACTCTTCTAGCCAAACAAACTCTTCGGTGACCTTTACGCTGGAAGCCAGATCTGGCTATGGGCATGAGCAAGCTCAGGTTTTGCTTTTCGATGCCTACTCGTCGAGAACGCGAAGGTTGCCACAGACGGTTTGACGATTAGCAGAGCCTGCTTCAACAGCGAGTGCGAAGTCATTTACTTGTAGTGCCGCGTCGAATGAAAAATGCATCCTAACACACAAATAAGTTGAACGAAGCTGTCAAAAGTTACAAGGTTTCTTGCCTGTCACCTACACTAATGTTACCGGTTAGCTTACCGGTAAGCTGGTAGCTTGGTCAACATTTTGGGACGATATAAAAGGTATACCAGTATTTACGGCCACAAATGAACCTTTATTTGATCCTCCGCAAACAATAATTTCGTTTGTTTTAATTGGAATAATTGTTACTTCGCAGTATAGTAGACAACTTGTTTTTCGCGCTACCCTGGTGTAGATCTCCTGCATCCTAACACACAAATAAGTTGAACGAAGCTGTCAAAAGTTACAAGGTTTCTTGCCTGTCACCTACACTAATGTTACCGGCTAGCTTACCGGTAAGCTGGTAGCTTGGTCAACATTTTGGGACGATATAAAAGGTATACCAGTATCTACGGCCACAAATGAACCTTTATTTGATCCTCCGCAAACAATAATTTCGTTTGTTTTAATTGGAATAATTGTTACTTCGCAGTATAGTAGACAACTTGTTTTTCGCGCTACCCTGGTGCAGATCTCCTGCATCCTAACACACAAATAAGTTGAACGAAGCTGTCAAAAGTTACAAGGTTTCTTGCCTGTCACCTACACTAATGTTACCGGTTAGCTTACCGGTAAGCTGGTAGCTTGGTCAACATTTTGGGACGATATAAAAGGTATACCAGTATTTACGGCCACAAATGAACCTTTATTTGATCCTCCGCAAACAATAATTTCGTTTGTTTTAATTGGAATAATTGTTACTTCGCAGCATAGTAGACAACTTGTTTTTCGCGCTACCCTGGTGCCGATCTCCTGCAGCCGCAGTGTTTGTTCAATACAAGCATGGAAAGAAAACAAATAGTTGTAGCTATTTTCGAGCTAGAGACTCCGAGTTTACTGGGATCGCTAACGATAGTTTTAAGAAAGCCTGTTTTCATTAACTTCGTGCGTTGACTTGATTGAATTGTTTTGTTTTTCGTTGTATGCGGTCAACGCCGGTAGCACTCAGAGCGAGCTCTGCATCAACCCCACTTATCAGGTACTTCTACCTGGCTGCGCCGGCTGACTTGATTAAATTGAATTATTCGATTAAAGATTCGCTATCACAGCCTTCGCGGAACCCTACGCGCTATTCCAACACAATCCAAGTGAGCTTGTGTATGCGCATTTACGCACTAGTTTTTTTTCTCGAGGAATACCAAACTATAATAGCAACGGATATCCAAGGATAGTTGATTATTCCCGTCAAGCTTTACATGTAAATCGATAAAACCGTAAGCTACCGCAAAAGCCTCACGTTGTCACCTTTCTTGTCAGTACCTAATCTTAAGGCTTCTTGGGTGCGTCGAAGCGCACAATAAAACTGATCTCGATCATCATGTAGGGTAACCCGAGGCCTGTAACGCCCCAGGTCGTGCTCGCTGGTGGATACGCACCGAAGTACTTCTTGTGCACGGCAGTCAGCTTCTCGGTATTTTCACTGAGACCCACAACCATCGTATTTTCACTCACAATTTGGCTGCGCGTTGCTCCGATCGCAGCGAGACACTTGTCCAGGTTGGCGAACGTGGCATCGCACTGCTTCGCAAAGTCATCTTCACCAATCGGGTTTCCTTTACCGTCGTGAGCGAACTGACCCGAAATCCATGCCGTGTCGCCAGAGATGACCACCTGACTGTAGTTGTGAGCATCCTCCCAAGGTAAGCCGTGCGAAAAAGTTTTGGGGGTCGCTGGCACGTCCAGCCGGACAGTGAACTTGATCTCCACCAGCATGTGCGGCATGCCCAGCCCAACCACGCCCCAGTTCGTGCTTGCAGGGCGGTGTGACCCGAAGAACTTCTTGTGCGCGGCGTTGAATTTCTCCATGTTGTCACGTATGTTGACAATCATCACCTCCGTGTGGACGATCTGGTTGCGCGTGGCACCGATCTCCGCTAGGCGCTTGTCAATGTTCTTGAACGCTTGTTCACACTGTGCATCGAAGTCATGATTGAACGCCGCCTTGCCCTGGCCATTGTAGTCAAATTGACCCGACACTTCTGCTGTAGAGCCGCACACCACAATCTGGCCGAAACCAAACTCCTCCTTCCAGGACATGCCATTCATGATGGTCTTGTGGTCCTTCGGCATATCTAGACGCACCGTGAGCTTGATCTCCACCAGCTGGTACGGTAGATAGAGTTCCGGAACACCCCACACAGTGCATGCTGGGCGATGAGAGCCAAAGTATTGCTTGTGCTTAGCACCCATAACCTCCATGTTCTTTTCCAAATTGACCACTAGCACCTCCGAATGCACGACGTGGTTTCGTGAGGCACCAGCCTCTGCCAAGCACTTGTCAAGGTTCACGAACGTGGCGTCGCATTGCGCAGCAAAGTCTCCTACCCCCACGGGTTTCTCGCCTGCGTGGCTTAGCTGTCCAGAGAAGTACGCAGTCTCACCCACGCGCATGACCTGCACGTAGGCGTAATCCTCTTCCCATGAGACGTTGTGCTTGTAAGTCGAGCAATCAGACGACAAGGCCATAGTGCGGAGAGCTTCTTGGCTAGTTTAACTGACTTGGATGTTTGTTGGTGAAGTGGCGAATTGCACAATGAGCTCCTTCCTGGTACTCCTTTTACGTTTTTCAAAGAAGATTGCATCATGATTGCATCATGGTCACTCGTGACGTTTGTCCTTGACACTGATAAATGAGATTTGCACCCTGTTCACGAGGAATTTCCACAATCCAGAACCAGCTATGTACTGTTTTGTCCAAAGCTAAGATATCGAATGGCAGTACTACTCAGAACATATTATCTGCGAACATGTCACCATTTTAAAGGTACTGCAAATATGCAGTGTAAAAGGCCTGACAAAAAAGGACAATTGGTTGTGAATTTACAGCGCTCAAACTTAGTTAGCTTTTCGTGATATCCATCGTGCTCTTCTACTCCCTGCATGCGACTGCCTACAACTGAGCTGCTTTCACAGCCGGGCAAGCATGGGTAGGCCAGATAGCTCTGCTGGGGGGGGGGGCTTAAAAAAAGGTTTGAATAAAAAACAAGAATGTATTAATACAGTACTACTGTACTTTCGTGTAGCTAGAAACAGATGTTTCAGGTGGCTTCGTAAATACTTTAAAAAGAAAATGCACATGTACTGGATTGTTCGTGTATCCTCAAACACAGTACATACTCATAATACCAATGTAATGAAGCATTATTTTTTGATTACATCATTTGAGTCATGATGTAATCAAGTCCTGAATGTCGCTGTAAGATACTAGTCGGCGGCTAGTAGTAGCTACGCGGCGGTAGTTTAGGTTTAGTTCTACATGTTTAGGCATTTCCGCCTCCGCTATGCTTTGGTGGGACATTAATTCCAAAACAAAAGAAACCTGCATAGGTATGTGCTAAAATTTAGCACACACGCCCATTTAATATCTTTTTTTAATTTCATTAATCTGGGTATAATGTAGGTTACCAGACACGAACAATTTTAAGAGTGTCCTCAAAATGCTGAGTTCCCGGTAATCCGTGCAGTTATTTTTACAAGAAATTGAGCCCCCACATCATGCCTACTATTAATAAAATAGTTATTCTAATGATCTTGATACAATCTCTTTATTTTTGTTGGCTATCACTGTATCTTCGTCTTTCACCTACAACCACCTGCACCTTAAATGGCATTTATACAAACGCTACACAATATGTTTAGTTCAGCGGGGTGCTCGGTATCATGGGCCGTTTCTGAATAACTATGAAACTTAACCGTTTCGTGATCGCAAATCTTGGCGACTATGACAAACATTTGTAAAACGCGGCATTTTGCCGCGTTTTGAGGTGGAAATGCGCACTCCGTTCCAAACAGACTGTTTTAAAAACACGATGGATTGTTTATAGAACGCGACATTTTGTAGACGAGTCAAGCCACAGCAGCCGTGTCGCTGATTCGTCAGAATAAAGGCATTCCACGGATTGGCGGAGCTCGGCTAATCAGAGCGGTCAGAAATTGCAAGTTCCTAACGCATCCCACGCGTTTCCGCACCATTGATATCCAATATGTGATTTGTACGAGCTCCGCGAACCGAGTATTTATCTTGTTCTCAGTATTCATCGCTCTGGTCGAGGCGTCGAGCAGACTGCTCTCGGGGCCGGTGATAGCCAATTGCAGCTGGGAGTCATTCCATCACAGAAATCTATATTCAACAAAATCACATGCAAATAAGATGCCGGATTAGGCTGCAAACAAACCATTTTTAACCTCATTAAACAATACTATTGTAAGAGACGCGAGAGCCGTTCATTTCCTGATTTGACGCCTTGAGCCCATGCCGCGAAAACGCGCGCTCGCAGAAGCTCAACCTGCAAGAAAGCAGCGGCCCCGGCGGGGCCAAGCCCTCAGCGACGACGCTACCAAATTGTCATCGACGCTGGACTTTAACGGTGTGTAGAGAGAGCTAAAGGCAGCTGGGTGGACGTCCAAGCTTCCTAGTGCCCTCGACGATCGATATCGATATGTCCTCCCCAGTTGTCCTGGTAGCGGAAGAGCTGGCGTTGATTACCTGCTTGTGGTAGAAGCAGTATTGTGACACTTCGTACAACATTGTGAGCAATGCGTGCTCTCCAGCGCTTACAACAATGCTGTTGACTCAAATGCATATAACTATCGAGCGTTGTTCCCAGACTTTGTAAATCGGACATACACCTTTAAT